ACTTTGTGTCAGGTAAAGATGAAAAGAACATTGTCGTTCGTTGCAAACTTTGTGCGGGGAGGTGTTCTGTCATAAAATACTACCTATCGAGACGTGTTATCGAGCCTTTCTGCGCATGTGCTGTTCCACCGTCTTGGGATTAGGGTTAGGTTTTAGGGGTTAGGGTTACGTTTAAGGTAAGGGTTTTAGGGGTTTTGGGGGGTTATGGTTAGGGTTAGGGTTAGGGCTATCGATTAGCACTACGGTAGCATTTTTCGACAAGGCAGCATATATCGACAGAACACCTGCAGCAAAACGCTTTCAACAGCGAAAAACACAACATCTAATTTACTAAAACATTTGATACGGCAGAACAGCGGCAAAGTGAAGCTAAAAAAATGCCGCCGACCGTGAGGCACATGCAGCTGGTAACGCGTGTGTATACATATACGTGTGTTTGTGTCTTTGAAAATGACTGTGTATGTTATATACACTGACAGTTCATGTAGGTAGGCTATAAGTCTGTTTAGTTTGAAGATGATGGTTGAATGGATGGATGAATGGACAAATATTTTACCTATCTAAATTTAGATAATTTAGTACATCCATCCACACACAAGGCAGGGAACAACCCAGGATGGGGCACCGACGCGTCACAGGGGACACTCACACACCATTCACACCTACGGGCAATTTGGTAACTCCAGCACTTTTGGTACGTAGGCTAACTCCTCGGCATGTTTTTCATTCGTGGGGGGAAACTGGAGGAAACGCCACAATGCCACCACTTGTATATATACACTTAATTCTTTGCATACAAATAAATTTACAGCCTGGAAACCAGTATGTTAGAAGTTTGTACACTGGACTGTATATATGTATATATTCTGACGTCTATTTCGAAATACGATATGTTTGTTGGAAACGCTTAAGTCGGGGACAATGTATAACGTTTATAACAAACTACAATTATTTAAAAAGCCTTTGGCAGTTTTTCTCATGACCTCAAGGTGGAAGCACTAGCATTTAGTTAATACTGAATGCCTTTATTTAACTACTCGGTCATACAGGGACCAATACTGTTGCTCGTCTGCCCATATCAGGCCGCTAATTGGAGGGTTCTCCCAGCCAATCCGCGTTTTCATTCCACCCACATGTAAACCAATGCTCTGTGGCTACTGGATTTTGTTTCAACCAGTAAATTAAGCATGACTAAACTGTTAGAATATACTTGGCTTTATGTTCCTACATATAAAGACCTCTCGACGACCAGTTTTGGACAGTAGCGTTGCTACAAATAGCGAAGCTATTAGTTTAACTACGTTTTCCATAAATGCTTACTGTGTACTAACTCGGTGCCAGAATTATTTATCTTCTGGTCGCCTTTTTCCGCTTCTCATACGGGGTTGATTCTCAGTGAACGCAATAGCTACGTTTCTTATGAGTGCTATGTATGTAGCTCTGCATTCATACCATTTTTTTCTGTTAGTATTCTTTCTGATTTCCAAACCAGTCAAGCCAATTGAAGATGATGTAATATAGATATGGCAAATATTAAATATAGAATATATAGAATATGGAATGTTTATAATAGTTATTTGAAAAATTTGGGAGGTGAATATTATTTTTTAATTGGTACCAGAGATTACATTTTAAAGTAGCTTCAATGTAGTTAAGCTAATTTTGCTATGTAGCTTGTAGTGTAACTTGCTAGAATTCTCTGATGAGCTTTCATTAGCTCAGCTATAAATTTGGTAGAAAAACTAGGAGCCACGATGACACAAATACAACTTTAAAGTGATTGCCCAACATTATGAGTTTTTTATTTTCAAGAAATGTAACATTTAAGTTAATGTTTGCCTGTGGATCGTACTCTGCACCGCAGAAATGTATATTTAGACATAACTGCTGATGGACTCGCAACATTAATTTTTTAAGGTGTATAATTTTGTCATGTCCCTCATTGAATGCATGACCACAAGACGTTTGCACTTCTATATTTTATCAGCGCAACACCTCTTCTCATAAACAATTCAGGCATTTCATGATATGCCAGTTTCAAACAAAAGCCCCTGTAGGTGTCTAATTAATTAAGAAGTTAGGGGAAACCATCTACCGAATCTGGGATTCACTGGGCTGTGAAGTCTACATGCCCAGGGGTTGTCCAGGCCTGGAGTTAATTAGCTTAAGAGTGCATTTAATAGAAAGCCATTTCAAATGATTCAGCCATGTTATAAAACCCTCAAAACCCTAACCTTTAAAGGCAAATTGTGTATCTGGCATTGGATCAATCTAACACCTGCTGGCAGCTATCCAAGCTTAAATGGCTAAAAAGGAACGAGCACATGGTGTAGTGTGTGTGTCTGTGTGTTGTATCACGATCACTTCTGGCATGACAACACGAGTCGAGCAACTTTCCTGGCTACAGGAAGCATCTAGCTGTACGAATTGGTAAATTATGAGCTTTGAAAGTGATTTTCAATTAGAGTGTCAATGCCTCAAAACAGCAGTACAGAACATTTACAGGGTAAATTCTCAGCAAGGAAACTTCAGAGGCATTCGGGGGTGATCATTAAACACATTCCAGGCTCACATTCACTAAGCTGAAGAATACAAACCATGATCAGCTCAGCATTTTGTCATCACCCATATTAAACATGTAATGATGTATAATGATGCAATGTTTTCCAGTGAGTAATAAAAATAATCTACAGTTTCAAAACAACATTCTCACTATGTCATTTTAGGATATAAATCATAGGGAAGAGTTAAAACTTTAAATAAAATCACTATCAACGTGTTTGTTACACAGTAATCGTTTTATTTTTGCCAATAAAGACATTTTTCAATAAAAGTATTTTATTTGTATTTTGGAGACGTACAACACCAAATGAAAGATACCATACCAAACGCATTGAACAGCACAATACTTCAGAAATAGGTCTGAAAGTCACATACAATTTCTCCAAGACAGTAAAAATGAAACCGGTTTAAAGCAGTATATAAGACAGGTGAGAAAATGACAAGACATTCCCTGGTCCCCTTAATCAAAACAGAGTCAGCATTACTCGGCATTTACAGTCAGTCCACAGAGCCACGCGGACAGCGGAACTAGTTACACCTAAAGCCCAGGCAGGTTGAATCATATGACTGCCTTACATTTAGTCTAATTGGTTCACCTGAGTAGCTTGAGCTATGTGTAGCTGAGTCAAAGGACAAAGGAGTCAATCGAGGCGCACTGTTGTCATACAAGCAGTTTTACAGTGAGGAAATTCAAGGTGGAACTAGTGTTCTTTATTCCGGTGTACTTTACCTTTCCCCTGCAACTGATATTCAATGCATGGCTTTCAAGAGTGGAAGAGGAGGTAGAGATGGCCTTGTTCAGTGCAACTGTAGCAGCAGGTGTATTACCAAGGGGCACCTCTCTATTTTATTGGCAGTATGACTCAGGGACCATAGTAAGCTCATTCTAGGGTGAGGATAAGGGTTTTCTACCGAAGAACGGGGGACATCTTGGTTCAGTGTTCCCAGTTGGGCGTGCTACTTGAAGGAGGCTCGGACTCTTCTTCCTTTCAGAGGCTGAGGGGGTCTGTAGTTGTTCACCATGCGCTGGCGATCCTCCTCCTCGTCACTGAAATGCAGCATCCGGAACTTTCCCATCTATATGATGGGAGTGATGAAAGAGACACATAAACCAGGGCCATGAAACATTTTTAGCCAATAGATAATTCTCAACTTCCTTACTGATAATTCAGTGTTGCGGAGTGGGACTAGGAACTGTGCTCATGTCCAGGTGGTCATGGATTCGAAATCTGCTGGCCAGCAGAGTGATCATATCCCTGCTTTGCCTCTGTGCAAGGTCCATAAACCAAACTGTGCCAGGGGCACTGGCTGACACTCCCAAACATCTATTCTGTGTATGTTACTTTGGATAAAAGTGTCAGATAAATAAGTAAATGCAATTCTCAGAAATGCCTTATTGATTCTGGGGGTTGGTGACAACAAGACATCCACCAACATGAAACACTTAGCTTTTTTACATAATTAGCAGACAAATTTTGAGAAATATGGTCAGATAGTTCCTGGAGCAACTCAAGGTTAAGGGCTTTGCTCAAGGGCCCAACACTGAAAGCATGCTGCCCATCCTGGGACTTGAACTGATGACCTTCTGATCCCAGCCACAATGTCAAACTGCTGAACCACACACTGCCTCCGGAAAAGCACATGAACACTCCCTTCAAAGCCAAGATATTCATGACAAAACAAGGAGTGAGATACAGGGATGGCTCATGAGGATTCTCCTTTGTCTAATCTCGTGGGAGAGGTTTAGCACTATCAGAACATATCTATTTACATTTGGCCTAATTGAGACCTCAAAGTTGGCAGGTTATATTAAAGGGGTATAACCACCAAGAGGAAAAGATCCGACTTAAACAATGCTAATAAATGACTGAAATGTCATCACTGTGTTTAGTACATTCTGGTCTAATGACTTGGAGGGATTCAGAGTAGATGCAACCTATAGTTCAATATCCTAAATATTATATACGCTGTTCTACAAGAGTACCAAATATGAATCAGTTTGCAAGCACGTCTTAAAAAAAAAAAATAGAGGAACATTTTTAGATTTCCTTGGACATGCAAGTATTGTGAAAGCCTTTTAGTCTCTATTGAATATAATCAGTTAGTGAAATAACCGGATTTACACAGTGAACGTGGTATCCTGCGACATTCGGATTAAAATGTATTCCGTTTCATTTAATTAAATGTAATTTGAATATTCTCTTAAGTGCATTGGTATTCATGTTTACATCCCATAAATGCATGAGCCTCTTCTAAAATTACATTTGAGCAAGATACACAGTCATAGCGCTGTGCCTGCAGTCACGAAAGTGTCCCTCAATAGACTCAGGGCTGTTAAGGAACATTTAAAAAACAACATAGAAAGATCTCAGATAGAAAAGGTCTTTGCAATATTTATGGTAGCAACTTGCTAAATACAGTATTCACACCCTTATTCCTGAGGGAAGTCTGCTAATTATAAACAATTACTATTAATTTAAATGTTTCACACTTAGACATGTTATAGTTTTGGTAATTTGTCCTCCATTATGAACCCAAAAGGCTGCAATAAAACCTCAGCTTTAAAAAATGCAAAAAGTTCAGTGATGTCTGCATTTTCTCCGAGCTTGACAGCTGACGTTGAATGTGTATAACTGGGCTCTCCAACAGGCATCCCGCGGCCCCAGGAGAGGTAACCGATTCCACCCCCACACCCGCCAAACTTTAAAATGGTACTGTTCTCCCACCCCACTCCCGTCTCGGCAATTTTTATTATCAGAATTTGTCCCATGGGAAAAAATAATTGGGGAAAGTTACAGTAATTTGCTTTTTTTCTACAAAACTCACAGCTTAGGGGATACATTAAATTCCAAAAGCAGTTTCTAGAATATCCCAAGACAGAAGCTATGGCACTCTGCAGACCAGCCAGCCCTTGACCTGTAATCAACACATGAAGAGCGATCAACCAGCCACAAACGAAGTTGGTATCATGCCATCTAGTGATGCATTTATAGATACTTTATTGATCCCTGTGGGGAAATTGTTTTTATGCCTCCCTCAACTTGCTCTTTGTAGAGTAAGTTGTCTGCGAAGGGCAGCCACCTGTTGGGGCGCCCAGGGAGCTGGGGGTTAAGGGCCTTGCTCAAGGACCCACAGACGTGCTGAGGCTGGGTTTACACTGCTGCCAGTTAGATGCCTAGTAAGGTGACAGGAAGGGCAGATAGCCCAGCATCCCAACAGCACCTTCCCAACATGTAAATCTTCCAGGGTTGGTTTGGAAGTCCGGATGACAATGTTCCCAGCCCACATTTCCATAACCGGTGTGGTTCAGATTTGGAAAACCACAGAGCCCCTGACCCACCCCTGCTCCACCAACCTGTCTCTCAGACACACGAATGGGCTCCTTCAGGACAATCCAGGTGACGCTCTCATGCAGTGGAGGCGTGGTCAGTGAGCCGGGATACGTCCAGTAGTTCAGGTTTTTGGGCAGGAGGCACCTTGGGTTGAAGTCCTTGAAGTCTACGGAGCTCCCCTGGCATTGATGGAGGGGGGGGGGGGCAGGAGGAAACAACCTTATATAACTCCTTAGGTCACAAAATGCTCAAGGATGAAGGAAAAAAAAGTGGTAAGACTTTGAGAAGAACCAACTGTAATCATAAAGCAATGAAGGGCATCGTGCTGGAAGTAGAGGATGCAGTGGTGCCAAGGTACATCCTGAATTTTCATACCTTAAATTTGACCATATACAAAGAATCCGTGATGCTGTTCAAAGCCCTGTGTCCATCACCGATCTGCAGAAAACACAGACCTAACAATTTCACACTTTAAAAAAAGAGAATATAATTGGACTGATGTAATAATAAATTCACAGTAGACATTTTGGAATAACAGGCTATACAATCAGCAAACATTCCAGCATAGTTCAATCTTCCATGCTGATGGAGATGAACTGGGCCAACTCACCTCCAAAAAGATGCCAAGCACAGCCAGGCCATCAGGGGCCACGGCCGCCTCGCCAAATGACTTGTACTTGGTAGCATTCCAGTGAACCAGGTGAAGCTATAAATGAAGGAAGCGGAAATCAGGGCGTGGGGCTTAAACGGTAATCCCACTCATACCTGTCTGAACAGCCAAAGACACACTGGCGTGACCTCCAAAGTGTAGCTCTTCTACACAGAGCAAAATGACGGGTTCTGGGGACACGGAAGGGTTGGGCGACACCCCCACCTCAGATGCAAAGGTCTTCCCGCAGATGGTGTGCTCTGAACCGCAGCTGCCTGTCCCACCCCAGTGGAAATGGAACTGCTTCAGCCTATACACCGACTCCAGGGGCCCCCCCCTGATGACTGCCAGGGCAGAGAAGCCAGCTGTCATTCTTTCTACCACGCTGGATATCCCTCTGTAGCACCTTGGCACAGAAAGATCATCTTCCCCCATGCTGGATTTTTAGAAGGGGGCTGGGGGCATCAGTGGATAATGGCAGAATCATAGTAATGGTCGAAAGCAGTAAAATTAGCCACACATTAAATCCCTACCTCATGGAAATGCCGCAGTTTCTCATATTTGCCTAAATTAAATGCCTCATCAAGGGAAGCACATGATCAATGACGGCTCTGGACTCCCAGAACAGCCAGGGGTGAGTTTCCGAAGCGTTCTTAACGCTACGTCGTTCGTTAGTTCTATCTTTTAACACAGAACTTAAGAACGACGTAGCGTTAAGAACGCTTCGGGAAACTCACCCCAGGTTGGTTAAATAATGACCCTTTCATCTGCCACTGAACCTCTGACTGAGCTTCTTGAGCTCTTACAGAAGCATTTACTTAAGTCAAACTCTATTGTCAAGCAATTTACTAAGATTAACTCGCATTCCTTTTTGGAGCCAATACCACTGGATATGAAAATGCTTCAGCAGGCTGGTTTTGAGAGTTCCGGTGGGTGATTTCAGTTACTCAAACATGCAAATAATTTCTAACCAGATGCTTATGGATTATACAAATTAAATGTAATTTCCGGTACTTTAAAAATACCTCAAATCTACAAACAGAAACACTGCAGCACTAATCAGTTTTTACACCAATTTTAACCTACGAGGCAGAATACAGTATGGATTAGTATTGCGCAAATATTAGCGTTTTCAATAAAAATAAATAGTAGACCTATACAAAGAAGATAAAAAAATAAGGCATATGATATAAAGCAGTACTAGTGTGTCAAGCTGACATGTATTTACAAAGACCTTACATATTTCTCTACTGACTGCATTGTGGTCCAAAAACCTCCACCCAGGAAGAATTAAGGCAAATATAGATGAGATCAGAATTTTCACATTATCTGCGTCAGCTAACACAATGATACTTAGGCGTGTATTATAATTGCTTCGCCTCTGGAAACGTTACCGGCTCTGCCATCTTCATCATCAAACTCGACGACCACAGAGTGGCCGTTGTTGGAGATGCTGAGGGACATGCAGGTGTCATAGACCAGCGTGATGGGGGGCAAACTGGGGTCAAACTGCGCCTCGCTGGGGACGATGTCGATGGGGGACTGCCGATTGCCCTGCGCGATGGGGTAGTCTCTATGCCAGGCGGAAGGACCTGGGAAATAAAAGCCTGGCGAATTATTATTTTTTAACAGTTCAAATGTATCGCGCGAAAATGCTCTAAAATAAACTGGGCTGAATGAGTTTACATAGCTGATCTCTATTGGTGTATCTTTGCTCATGTTAAAAAATAAAAATAAGCCGTTAGCGTTCATCCAACTTGACAACACGTTCAAATGACGACCAAAGTGACTGTTCATACCTAACAGGGAAGTAACGCAAATTTAATTATTATATGAAACAAAGCAAAACTGTAGCAACATTTAATTACTCTAATCGTTAAGAACAAATACGTCAGAGGAAAGTAATATCACTTGACAAATAGACACTTAAACCTCAATAAAACAGGTTCCTTAAATTATAAAGTAGTTGATATGTACTGCAAATATCCCCTTATGAAAATGGGTTAATCTAGCATTAAATGAACCTAACTCAGGAACAAGTGAGGCTGAAAGATTTAACATAGAAGCTGTTGCGTTAACATTTCAACCTATTAGTCCATAGAGCCGCCCCCCACCAAAAAATAAATAAATATGTGTAGTGAGATGTTAACCAGTAATTAAAATTAAGTAAAAAATAATAATAGAAGACTGATGGGATAAATAACTTCGGAAAAAGTCCTTGAGGATCATTGAGGAAGCGCGTCAGTTCAGCGCACCGACTCCAGCCTGCACGCCGACTGACCTACAGACGGTCGCACTCACCGTTTTCCTCGCCGTATCCCCACTGATGGCCAGTCATTGCGAAAAACCCAGCCTAACAAATTAACACACGGGTCCGGCCGGGACTGGAAACGCTGGGTTGTGATGCAAGATCCTAAACAAGCATCAGAACAACAGTGCGAATGCTGGAGTTGTGGGAGGTATTACGGCAGTTTTTTTGGAGGTACCGTAAAAGGTCAAGTTCGAGGTAAGTTGGGGATAGATAAGCGCGGAAAAGCTGAAATTGGGTAGTATAGTGATCCCGCGTCTTAACTCCGCCCCATCCATTAACCTTGGGGCCATCAGCCGGGAAACACCGCATTTATACTGCTAAATGTTACTTATTTTGAGTTTTGTAGACTAATGGTATTTTCGGCTGAAGAAAGGTACTGTAGCTTTTGCTATCAAAGAAATTCAAGTGTAAAAGTTATTTTAACGTGCTACAAGTTAGGCGTGGAAAAGGTGATAATTAAATTAATCCTACATAGTACAATCCACTGCAGTAATTTATCTACTAGTCTGTTGTAATTAAAATGACATTTTGTGATTTTATATAGGCCTAACGTCCAATCCAGTCTAATACAAATGGACTGTAAAATAAGCTACATGAGAATAGTTTTACAGGGCAATATTAGGCTATTTCTTAAAGGAAGACCTTTATAAAGTTCATAGTGGAGTAAATTAAGGCTTCAAGATTAAGAGGTTAGTAGTTGTTGACGAAAATCTGTTTAGTCCCTGATAAAACTATTTTTCGTATTTTTTTCCCCCCTAAAACCCAACCTGTTACTAACGCGCACATCTTTCTTTACCACGAACAGTACACATAATCTCCCCAAGTGGTAATGTTAGCTTTATATCGGATATCTGTGCTTGGCAGTTGGTCAAGGTGGAACGCGGGCAGGTAACTTGGCAAAGAAATTGCCGTTAGATTGATCAATGATTATAACTAAGACCTACGATTATTTAAAGCTTTGTCAAAGCTCTATAATTCTTTATATTGACGTAAAATGTTTACTGAAACATATTTAGGGTTTTTTTTTGGGGGGGGGGGTGGTGAATTTCATGCCATATTATGTATTTTGTACCACATTTATGGGAAAAAATTTTTTGTTGGTGTATTGAATTTGAAATGGAAGATCGCTTTAGTTCTTGAAACGTGTGCAAAGGATCAGTGTATTCTAGTGTTGCTGAGTATCCTCCACTTTAAAACTGTATACTTGTAGTTGGGAGGTCTCGGTTTTCAGGTTTTCTAGACGAGATCTCACATGAATTATAAGCAGTAAGTTTGGCCGCTGTTGCATTTGCTGCGTATGTTTCATTCCTACCCGAACAACTATGAAAGCTGTCATTCCGTACAGCAATAAATTTGTCGCCTAAGATAACTCAAATTTGTATAGAAAAAAATACATGTAAATACCAACTTATCTCCATAAACGTTTTTGTCATTTTAATGGGAAGAGTAAAATGCTATAATAGGTCTAACTAATTATTAAAGAGTAATTACATTTACAATATCTGTGTGAACTAATTTTAACAATGTGTGGTAGTTTTATTTGGAACTTCTGACACGAATGTACGGACATTTGCCTGACGTCTGAGTAACGTCTAAAAAACAGACAAGTCCTATTCTGCAACTTATCCTGCTTGGGTCGTAGCAATTAGATAAACGGGTATCATGTTGCATTTTCGACCACGGTCTCGTATTCGTATGCCAGTACACTAGGGGGCGATATGAAACATCTAGTCGATTATCGATGGCGATTGACCATCGAAGAAGAGAAAGACGTTCCGGCTGCGTTGCGCGATCACTCCGCCTGCTGGTCAAACTCTGCGTCTCAAGTACAGCATTACCTGGTCTAGTTGCTATATGTTGAAACCGCCAGCTTTATCGCCACAGGAAGTCGACTAACATCGCAGTCCGCGCCGCAGCCATGGCCGACGGCTCTAAAGGGAAATCAACGAAGGAGCAGAAATATGACAGGCAGCTCAGGTGCTGGGGCCGGGGCTGCTGCGCTCGTGAGGATGGCGATGGGCCTGCCCACCGATCACCGCTAACTAGCTCAGTCATACATGCAGGAAACCGGTTACCCGGTTGTTAGAACTGGCACATGCGTGTCACCTATTATATGAGTGTTTTTATTTACTAAGTGAAAGTACCTGTTTTTGTATTCGCATTGGAATTTGTTCACGTCTGTATAAATTGTCCAATGACCATGGTCGTGATGTTTAGAAATTCCGGGAACTATAGCAGATTGTGAACCTTGTGTTACTGATATAACTTTGGTAATACATTTATGAGAAGGAGAAGCCTTACTGGCCAACGCAACGGGCTTTGACTGTCGTAGTTGTATTAGTGTAGCATGGTAATGTGGTTGTCATCGTTGGTGAAGGAGAACTTGAGATTCTGTCACTTCTGTACGAATCTGCCTTTACTTTTTCCCCTCCAGATTGTGGGGGGATCACGGGCAAGATGCCCTGGAGAATGCACATGTGTGTGTGATCAATGCCACTGCCACGGGAACAGAATTACTCAAGAATTTGGTGCTGCCAGGTAAATGTTCTATTAAGCAAAACATCAAGTCACCTGATATTTCAAGATTTCAAATCTTTGCACATGTACCTTTGCTGGCGTAGGTACATCTCCAATCATTTTGCACTCATCCCAACCAGCTGGGTCCATTTTTTCAGTCCAATTTTTTAGTGCTTGTATTTTCTTTTTCTTTTCTTTTTAGGTATTGGTGCATTTACCATTGTAGATGGTCATAAAGCTTCGGGAGAGGATGTGGGAAACAAGTGAGCATTAACATTGTATTTTAGATTTTCTTACAATAATAATTTTTATAATAATAAATATCATGTCATGCATTGGTGTGCTTATTGTATTTTAGCTAGGTATTGTGTCCCCTTGTTGCATTGCACCAAAATAACATGCATTTTTCAACTTGCAGCTTTTTTCTAAGTATTGATAGCATTGGGAAGGTGAGTGGTAATTAGTTATTAATACTGCATATCAGCCTTTCGGCACTCTCAGCTCCCCACAGAGAGAGAGATTACCGCTGTCGTTTTTCCTTAGAGTCGTGCTCAGGCTGCCACAGAGCTGCTTCAGGAGCTGAACAGCGACGTCTCTGGCAACTTCGTAGAGGAGGTCAGTGGTCTCTGTCCCTCTTGGTCCATTCCATGCTCTAATTTTCCTCTGCTTCTTGTAGACTAATTTGCTATAGGCTGACATTCTTGGTAGGGCAGTGGTCTAAGACATACGTAGTCAATTATGATGCCTTCTACCCCCCAAACCTAACCCTAACATTAGCCCCCCTCCCCAATCAGCATAATATAATGAGATTTCCTTGATTACTTTCTTGTAAAAGTAGTTCTCCATAAAAAAGGTTGGAGACCACTATGAGCACCTTTCCACTGCACCAGATACCGTACATTTAGTACAGTACTTCAAGGTGATGGTTTTCCACTGGTGTAAAAACTGGTACCGGCACTGAATGATCACAACATGAGGCAGGGTATTTCGTACTGAATTTGAATTTCTATCTGGTCTTTGTGCTGTGAATGATGTGACAAAAATGTACTCATTTTTCTGGTTGGTTGTTTTAGACTCCAGACAAGCTCCTGGACAATGACCCTGAGTTCTTCCACAGATTCAGCTTGGTCATTGGAGTCCAACTGGAGGAGAGGTAATGCAGCGAAAGCTAGTGTTTGATGTAAAAGTATATATTTTCAAAGGCTCAAATGAGGGATGCGTATGTATGATTTTTGTGTTTCTATACATTAAATGACGGTACCACGATTTGGGCATTATGATGGATTTAAAATATGCGATTTATGCACTGGCTTCCCAAGAGGACTTGTCAATTGTCTTGTACCTGTGGGTTGGTGCTTTGAATAAATGTGCCTTATAAATACACGTGGTGGCATTGTCTGTGCAGCACATGCCTGAGACTGGGTGCGGTGCTGTGGAACGCTGGAGTTCCCTTTCTGGCATGCAGGACATACGGACTCGTGGGGTACATGAGGCTGGCAGTAAGAGAACACACAGGTGAGCACGGATAAGGTAATGTTCCTCAGACTGGTCCTTGGGGAACCCCGGACCATCCATGTTTTAGGAGTGGGCAGGGAGCAATAATGTAGACCAGAGGTAAGCAGCCCTGATCTTGCAGTGCTGGTACCCAGCGGGTTTTCTGTCCTATCTGATGAGTTACTATCTGACTGAGATCAGGTGTGGCTCATCAGAGACCAGGTAGGATGGAAAACCTGCTGGGTATGGGCACTGCAGGATCAGGGCTGCCTACCCCTGATGTAGACTGTCTGGCAGGGAGGTAGGAAGGAGCCAAAATGTGGACTGTCTGGGGGTCTCTGAGGAATGGGTTGAGAAACGCTGGGAAGAGGTGCACTGCAGGCTTCTGATGGGTGCATGGGGTTCATTCAGGTTATTCAGATTACAGCTTGTGTTGCATGTCAGCGGCTTTGGTGTGATAAGATATGGCGGTTAAGAGACTGGCAAAAATGCCGCATGTTCAAAACCAGGAAGGGGAATCAGAATCGGAAAGCTGTAATCGTTTGTGATTACAGTCTGCACAGTAAAGAACGACACAAAAAGTCGTTCAGAGAATGTTATTTAAAAAGGGTCGGTATAATAAGCTGGAGCTTCAACCTGTACCTTCAGTACCTGTAGCTCAACAAGTAGAGCATTACACTAACAATGGAAAGGGTGTGGGTTCATATGCCAGGGAACGCATGCATCCTTCCTTTACTGTATGTTGGTTTAGATAAAAACGTCAGATGAATGAATATCAATGTTCTCTGAACTCAAAAGGTATTTTTTTTTTTATCTTGTTGTCATGTGTCTAATCCAGCTGCTGCTTGTTTTTCCCCCAAATAGTGATAGAATCGCATCCAGATAATGCGCTGGAAGACCTGAGGCTTGACCAACCATTTACAGAGCTGAAGAATCATGTCCAGTCTTACAATCTAGACAATATGGAGAAAAAGGTTGGTTAGTTTTTCTAAGTCATTGTTGAGAGACTAGTAGCTGAACTGCTCGGAGGGAAAACCATATGTAGCATTTCTCATTTTTATGTTTATTTTGACGTTTGCCAGCACCGCGGTCGATAGTCATGTGGACTTTTAGGTGAACTGGTGTTTTTAATTTTCCTTCATGTGTGAGTTCATTCCCTGCAATGGGGTGACATCCTGTCCAGGGTGTCACCATGCTGTCACCTGTGCCAAAACACCATGCCCTCTGGATAACTGACGATGGATGAATTTTGAGATTATGAAATGTTTCCTGCACTAATTAAAACCTTGCAATATTGTCTGAAATAGTACATTTAGTACATTTTTCTTGCAGACACTAACCTTTTTCCTTTCTTCTTGCATACAGCACCATAGTCATACACCATGGATCATTATTGTTGCCAAGTACCTAGAAAAGTGGTACAATGAGGTAAAAGCACAGTTTCTTTTGTTTTTTTTTTGCTCATTTGTTGTGTAGCTTTTGAGTAAAATGTACGTGATGTGCATTTTTATATCGTAGCACAATTTTCAGTTACCGAAGAATTACAAAGAGAAGGAGTCATTCCGAGAGCTCATCCGGAATGGTAGGAGCCTTAAAAAGCTGAGCTTCATAACCTTACTGCGGTGTTTCCCATCCCGGCCCTTGAGGACCCACAGACGGTCCACATTTTTGCTCCCTCCCAGTTCCCTGCTACCGGGAGATGGGAGGGAGCGAAAATGTGGACTGAATGTGGGTTCCCAAGGACCGCATTGGGAATCACTGCCTTACTCATTTAATGTTTTCTTCCCATATCTTAGTGCTGTTTCATATTTTATTCTTCTGCATGCCCAGTGTTGTACTTGATAGGTGTCCTGCTGCCCCTCATGTAACCTGATTTCATGTTATTTGTACCACTTCAGGCATTTTGCAGAATGAGAATGGAGTTCCTGAGGATGAGGAGAACTTTGAAGAGGCGATAAAGAATGTCAACACTGCCCTTAACCCAACAAAGGTCAGAATCCTTACATTGGCCATAATCCTTTAATCATATGAGCTTCGACGATGATACCAGGGTTACAATACCTGGTGTCTTTAAAGTTGTGATGTAAATCAGAATTTATTCTTGATTGTTACACGGGACATGATGGTGGTGCAGGGCACGTGTATGGAGTATGCATGGGTTCCCTCTAGGTGGATAGGGGTGTCTGCATTTTCCTTAGTGTGTGTGTGTGTGTGTGTGTGTATCCCTTCTCATCCATGGTGTACCCTTCTTCATGCTCTGCGAATACTTGGATAGGTTCCAGGCCTCAGGCTAGCTGTCACCCTGTACTGAAGCAGTTACTGTCGAAGATGCATGGATGGATGTTTACAGAGTAAATTCCTTGCTGTTGTATGTCTGTCTGTGATTATTTCCCCCTGTTTTTATTTTAATGATGTTCTTGATGAAGCTTATGTGAGAGATGTTAACCTTTTCACCTTTTTAGCTCTCTGTGTAGTCTGTCGACCAGCTGCATGGTCCACACCCTGGGAGGAGTTGGAGAAACGCTGGTTTGATGGTACTAATTTTTTCCCTACACAGATTTCACGTCTGGTACAGGAGATCTTTGATGGAGAAGAATGCAAGAACATTACATCTCAGGTAAAGATGGCCATGTTTACTAGCATTTACTTAATTAGCAACATTGATACAGTGAGAAAAGGCATTATGGCATTTTTGGACGCACAGCACGCTGGTAATTGTTGACTTAAAGGGTCGAAAGCAGTTTTATTATTAAGAAAACCGTCTTGGGGCTATTAGGCTGTAATGTCAGGTCTCTGGAGAGACCCTGATGATGCAGAGGTCTAACCAAAAACGTATATCCAGCCATATAAACTAGATTAAAGAGTAAAAAGCTTGGCGTCTGAGATACAGCTGTGTGAAACGCACTCGTTTAATACTGACTTTGTTTCTTATTGAAGATGTTTCCTATGTGTCACTTTGCCCCACAGACGCCAGCCTTCTGGATAATGGCAAGGGCGGTGAAGGAGTTTGTGGAGAGTGAGGGCGGGGGGAACCTGCCCGTCCGCGGCACTATTCCTGACATGATCGCTGACTCTGAGAAGTTCATCAACCTCCAGAACGTGTAGGGGAACATATCTGTGTGTGTGTGTGTGTGTGTGTGTGTGTGTGTGGTATGATTATATTATGTTATGGGGACCAAATGTCTCCACAGTGTGTTAAAAACCTGCTATACGTTTTGGGGACCATTTTTTTCGGTCCCCATTAGGGGAAACTCAGTTTTCAAAAAATTTGTGACTACAATCAAAAAACTAAAAATGCTGGAAGTGTCGTGTTTTGTTTGGTTACTTATGGTTAAGGTTAGGGCTGGGTAGGGGTACATGTCATGGTTGTAATTTGTTTTTTTCCCATAGAAATGAATTGATGGTCACCACAGAGATATGAATACAAATGTGTGTGTATGTGTATTTATATGATTTTAAATACACACACACAAAAACTACTACACGGTGTGCATATTAATTAGGAATAAAGACATGCATTTGCCTAAAATGGCATTGACACCAATCTCAGTTTAATACTTTTTCTCTATGTGAAATGCACAATTTAATTTCAGTCCATTATTTAGTATTTGGAAACAGTATTATGCTGCAGGTAAGAATGTCCCTAATTCGTTATTAGTGATTTTTTTCCCCCTTTCAGTTACAGAGAAAAAGCAATGCAAGACGCTTTGCTGGTGGCCAAACATGTGGAGTCTCTCCTACAGTCTGTTGGAAAGGTACATGTCATACTCCTGTTTTTTTACCATAGCAGAAGACAGGATTCATTTTAGGTGTTTAACAATCGTGAGGAATATATGAACGTATGGCTTTGCACTGCATGCGGTTGTTATTGTTTCCAGTTGCTACCTTTGATTGTTTTTGTTCTTTCTCTCCATTCCTCTCATAGCCTCCAGAGAGCATCACTGAGCAAGACATTAAACTCTTCTGTAAGTTTATTTTGTGCCAAATGTCTTTGAAAGGGAAATGCTGATTCAAGTTATGGAGACAGATTTACAAGATCTTTAGTCTCCCGTTTATATTTATTATGACAATTCTTCACACACTTAGTCGGTGGTTCTAAATAAGCAGATTGAAAACTTTCTGTGATCGCACAAATTTAAGTTTTTTTTTTTTTTTTTATTGCCCACCACCACAATTTAAGTTTTAATACCAACGGTGGGTGGAATCATCCAGCACTGTCAAAGACTGTTTCACCCAGTTGGTTACCTTATTTAATTCCCAATAATTGGTTTAAACCAACAACTTATTGATACTGTGGGATAAACCCATCCAGTATGATTTTTGGAAGCCAGTGTTGAGTGGATAGTATAGTGTGTAGATGTGTGGTATCAGACATTATTTCATGATGCGTGTTTCCATTTGCTTAAAGGTAAAAATGCTGCTTTTCTGAGAGTGGTGCACTGCAGGTCCCTGGCAGACGAGTACAGCGTAGAGTCTTTGAACAAGGACGAGATCAGTAAGCGAATGGCGTGCCTTTGAAAGCAGGAGACAGGGGTAGCTCCTGGCTCGAAGTGCTTTGTGTTTAACCAAATCAACAACATTGATTCACGCAGCCTCCTGTATGGACAGTCCCGACTGCGAGATGGTTCTCTACCTCATGCTGCGCTCCATTGATCGCTTTCATCAGCAACACTCCCGTTACCCAGGTAACACCGTTTGACACAGCCACCTAGATTCTGAGACAAAATGGCTTCCATTGTTTTGAAACAATGTCCTTATGTGCCTTTGAAACCAGTGTTCTGAAGGTTTGCCCTTATATTCATATGATTATGACATTGCAGAGAGAAACTGTTTACATCCTGCTGCCTTACATCTATCATGCTTTGGATTGTCCTGGATAGCTTGACTTTAGAAGCCACTGAATTCTTAACTTTATTGTAGTTATTTTGTGTTCTTTCTTCCCCTCTGTAACTATGCCGCTGTCTTCTGGGCAAATCAAATGTCTGGTCAGTATTAATTGATTCAGAACATGGACGTTTCCGTCCTAGGTGTCTACAATTATCAGGTTGAAGAAGACATTGGCAAATTGAAGCTGTGTGTCAACAGCCTTCTTCAAGAATATGGCTTGAATGTAAACGTCAAGGATGATTACATTCATGAATTGTAAGTATCTAAGATCAGAGGATGCAAATTGTTTTATTGATTTTGTGTACAGAAAGCAGTTCTCTGGTCTATACAAAACAAATACACTGTCAGAAAAAGAGTACCAATTTGTACCTTTGCTTGTCACTGAGACTGTACCGTTAAGGGTCTGTCAGTTGTACCCTAGCTGTAGGTAAACATACCTTTTAGTCTAAATTAAGGTACAGAAAAGGACTATGGAGAACATCCCCAAGGTAAAAACAACACTATTGTACCCCCAATACTACAAAAAAAAGATACAATTACCTTCAACTAGGGTACAGTTGGCAGACCCTTGAGGGTACAGCCCCAGTGACAAGCAAAGGTACAAATTCATACTTTTTTTCTGATGGTGTATACTGAGTCTAGCCAAAATATAAATAAGTTTGATGGCTTCCCTGCATGAGTAACTTGATAATAAGAAACTAAATAAGTGAGGCTTTATTAATATATTTTTGACCATGTTTTACAGCTGTCGCTATGGTGCCAGTGAACCACACACAGTAGCATCCTTTCTGGGAGGTGAGATAAACCATTTGTTAGTGACGAACATGGTATTGGTCTCATTCACAGCTTCCATTTAAAGAGAACTTTAGGGGATAAAATAAATATAATGAGAATTTCTGCTTCAAAGTACTTGTTCTTTTTCTGTTTTTAGGGTGTGCTGCTCAAGAGGCCATCAAAATCATCACCCACCAGTTTGTACCGTTCAACAATACGTTTATCTACAATGCGATGTCCCAGACATCAGCCACTTTCCAGCTCTGAAATAAAATGGTTCTTCTTCTTTTGTGTTACTTTATGCTATACTGTAGACTATTAAATTAAAACTAAACCCCGAATCTTTGTGCATTTTTTTTTGCCAAGTTTATTTATAATTGTGACTTTAAGCCATTCATAATTCATATCGTCCTTATTAGTGTATTGACTTGTGGAGTTTGCATATCCCCCCTGGGTTTGATAGGTTTCCAATTGCATTTAGGTGGATTGCTGTCTCCAAATTGCACATGGTGTGTTTTTCTGTGTGTACCCTGTGGTGACCTGGCATCGCTTTCCAGGGTGTGCCCAGTGCTGCCTGGGATACACTTCAAGCCCCCTCCTGACCCTGTACTCGATAAGAAGTTGGAAGACGGATTGGTATTTTAAATTAAATTACTCAAATGTTTTCATTAGATCCAGGGTTGCAACTTTGGTCAGCTGGCTGGAGTGAGATTTTCAATTCGAGACAAGTCTGCACAGGCATTTACATGTGTATATAACCGTTTTATTACCTTGTAAATAGTCTGTAGGGTTTGCAGACTGTTCCAACGCTTTTGATGTAGCTAATATTAGGTTTAGAATGGAATAATATACATTTGCATGAGAGTATGAGGGCGCGTCACACTATATGCCTGAGTTGGCAACCCTGGGAATGAAACATTGATTAAACGATACCTTGTAAATAAATTATTTAGGAGCGGAGCCAACAGGATGGACAATACCGAAGATTTTCGTTTGATAACATAGTAACACCAGTATCATGTCCCATTTCGATCCCTATAGTCACCTATGTGCGGGTCCCTGAAAGTCGTCCTCGTTTTATGGGCGGCCCTGCTTGGTGATATAAACATTTTAAATGACTAGGTAAAAATAGACATTTTAACTTTAGAATCGGCTCTCAAAAAAAATCGGTATTTCAGCATCGATCATCCCCCCTTAATGGTTCAGGGAGGCGCGAAATGGACGGGCTGCCGGCTCACTGAAGAAGCCGGTTCGGAAGGCGCTGCTGGCTCGGAAAAGCGGCCCAAAGCTCGGACGCTGCGCTAGACACACATCTAACCGAGAAACACTGATTAGTTACAGTAGCGGCGGTGAACGGCCAGGGCCTGTAAGGGCTGTGGCGGCTGGTTATCCGGCTCCCAGCCGCGCTGAGGTGACCGTTACGCGGCGGCTTGCACGTACAGCCACCCCGGCTCCGGCTTTCTCTCCCTCGGTTTTAATCTGCTGCGCAAATAGCAATAAAACTGGATTTTATGACGGGAAGGTTCAAGTTTACAGACCGACGAACTGAAAAAGCTCAGGGTAAATGGTTAAAATGTCTATAAACTGTCACCCGACAGCCTTGGCCTGTTAACCCCATTTCGATTCCTGAGGTGAAGCTAGATTCCGTCGTTTGGTTTCATAAACTTATTAGAATTTCTTAAAAACAGGCAAATTTCCCTGCTATTAAAAATGCGGAATAAACGGCACTCTGCCGTTATTTTTTTGTTTGCTCTTATCTACTCTTGGTATTAGATATCGAATGGTATAGAAGGTGATTAATCATCTTTACTGCAGGTGACCCTTTAACATAACGGGGTATCGATCCGGTTTTTTTTGTAACACCATCCATTTTCCAGCCCCTTATCCAGTACAGGCCGCTTCCCAGTAGGGCTGCCCCTACATCTTCTTTCCGGGCCAGTCCCGGAGGCCATAACTGCTCTACACTTGTCTCGAGTAGCAATAAAAGTACGTTTATTATAATGGTGTAACCTAATATTCCTGCAGCAAATGCATATAGTTATGAATACGACAAACGTGGCTCTCTTGTGTTAACGGGGTACGTTTATTTGCCCACTTAGCTCACTGACACTTGACGAAGAGGAAAAATGGACAAATTGGACACCGGCCCGAAAAGCTGTGGTATGATCATCGTCATTTTCATTATTTATATGCGATCTCAGTGACACCCGCAGGATTTATCTTTTAAAAACTCCCAGGCACGATTCACAGGTGATTAATCTACCGAGATTGTATATATATATAAATAAAAACAACGGATTTAACATGTTTGCTATGAAAGCTAAACATTATTATCATCAAACAGACAGGAGTAACATGCGTCTGAAGTTTATATCACAAATAGAAACGTAAATCAGTAAGCACCCGTGACCATGCATGGGCAAAAAAAAAAAAAAAAACAATATAATTTCTATAGGCCTACACCTAGAATAGCAATTTCAATGTAATTAGGTGGCAGCATGTTTATGAGGAAAAACCCACCATACTGCTCAGTTCCGTGTTATAGCGTCAGTTTCTTAATTATTTTCATGGTTTCAATCGGTATAAAGGAATTTAAAATGCTACCTGCAGCCTGAAGTTAAAGTCGCAATTGACAATACCAAACCTGTGATTTTGTTATAGACTACCTTCTCCTGTCCCACTTTGGTGTATAATGCCATTTAAGTTTTTGTGCTAAAATAAGCATAAAATAGATATCATTAAGTGATTAATAAGGTACAACATTGTGTGAGAACTATCTCGGTCTGCCAACTTCATTTCCTAGCCTGGCCTTTGTTTGTAGTTTGTGTGTACTGTTTAAGTTACCATAAATTTCCTCACATAATCCAAAGATGAGTTGGAATCACTCAGTTGACCTTTGTGTGCCCAGTGATGGGTTGTGCATCGCCAGAAAGTCAACTATAGATGTCTGATATCTATCTTTGAGCAAATTAAAATATGAAATTTATATTACAGCAGTCAAGACAGACCTGAATTTGTTGCTTGATTGCCTCAAATACCAGATGAACTGTCCAGATTTACAGAAGCAAGCTCTATTCACCATATATTCCATCTGCCAACAAAAAGGTTAGCCGATCACTTTTTATATGGCTTAATTGATTTTATTCACCTCTAATACTAACTGTTGGACATAGATTACAGTTTTTTACTGGCATAGTTCATTGTCCATTCCTAATTTTATAGAAACAGTTGCTGCAATTGTGTTAATTATCACTAATTTTAACCTACTGAATTAGGTAGATGGTAACAATGTCCTTTGAGTCACAAGATGTCAAGTAAATGAAATGTTTATATGGACACATAAAATTTGTGTTCATTTTGAAGTTATGGATTTAAACCTATATGTTCAGTAATACTAATGTTGTATATGTTTATTTAAAAATTCAGCATAACTTTTAATTAGCTGGGAAAAGAAATGGCTTGATATTAGGACAGTGTATGAAAACGTGTTTAATGAATGCAATAATTTATCAAACAAGCTCCTAATGATGTTGTTACAAGTCTTCAGTGTCACAGAAAAAAACCTTAATAAAATCTGCTTTGCATTTAAATATATATTGTTGCTCACTAGCACTAAGGAGTGATTTACATCTTCTTGTGCTCTCAAATGACCCATCCACTGTCTGCTCTCTTTTTCACCATCTTCCCGTTAGTTATTTCCTGTGAAACTCTGCACTGCATTGAGGTTTTCTGGTTGTGATCTTAATATATTGAAGATTTTGAGCCAAATGAAATGTGTTTGTGGTTTTTGTCATTTATTTGTCTTAATGTTCACTTCTGGATGTGTGTCTTGCCTTCCATAACAGGGAGTGCATATTCTCTGTGTTTTGTTTAGGAGTAATTTTTTTTTTTATTGTTTTTTTAAACCTGATATTAAATTGTTGGACATGTGGTTAGGGAAAAAACCTGGGCTATAGTCATTGATTTTAATAGAACTATGTAATTAATTTTATTAGCTTAAATCATTTGCAGCCGATGTATGTTGCCTGAACTTTAATCCCCTCCACAGCAGACTTTGTAGGCTGAAATATATTTACAATATTTTTGCCATCTTTTTGGGCTCAAAAATGCCTTTTGTTCTGTTTTTATGCATTTATTTGAACACAACTGCTGTATCTAAGCATTTTTTTAGTTAAAAAGGCAGATATATAAATAGATAGAAAGACTGACTTAATATGGGGATTTTATGGAAAAATGTGGAATGGGTTTATTTATACAGACCAAATGAGTGAGAATGTCAGCTTTTGCATGTAGCCTGTGAAGTTGATTGCCATTCAACTTGTTAGTGATGTTGATTAACACGCTTTTGCCTGAGAAATGAGAGGTTGTAGCCAGGCTGCTCACATGACCTGATAGCTTGAACCCGGGCATGCTTGTCATTCCTCACGCTGTGCTGAAAACTGCCAATATAGCTGAAGGCCCCCACCAGTAAACTGGTACTGGGCCAGATATGATAATCCCCAATGCTAATATAGTGAACATTTTAAACTTGGTTGGGTTGCCAGTCCACAAGTGACATTTTTTCCAGATGCCAAGTTGTCGCTCTCTGCTTGTCTCTGACCTATGCACCACGGGACTTGCTCACACTGAAAGGTGTCTTTTCGTTTTCCTTTTCTAGAGGAGGTTATAAACTATTTCCGGGATATTGGTGGGATTCAGTTTGTTTACAACCTTTCGCAGTCCAGCAAACACACGGAGGTGCAGGAGGCAGCAATCTTCTCCCTGGGAGCCATGGCAGAGAGCAGCGGTGCGTGCATCGTGTTTTTAAGCATGTTCTTGTGCCTCTTTCTTCTAGATATAGTTCATATTCCTACCATGATAATGTGCAGCATTTACTTATAGTAATTTCTCATGTGTTGTAAGTCTCAGTACTCACAATAGATGGCGCCATCCCTTAGGTTTTGCTGAGGCACATTATAACAGAAATCATTTTAAGCATACTATAAAGCATACTATACAGCATACTATACAGCATACTATAAAGCATACTATAAACACTTTTCACTTCTTTGTCTGACAACATGAATGCTTGTGCTGGGATTGTTTTGGGAGTATTTTGTGTGGGTCATTGTAAATACTTAAGCGATTTCATTCAAGCTATGCGCCCATGCATTTATATTTTCAGTTTCTCTTTCACTCTGTCGTATATTTCTCTGTTGACAATGTGGCCGAAAATCCCATGCTTTTAGAAATATACTTCCCAGACCATGGGTTGTTAAGTCTTTTCTACATTTCAGTGATTCTTACTCTGAAACGCAGCAAACAGTAGACTGGCTATGCTGCCAAGGTCTTAAACGATATCCTGCCCCTGAGTGTCACTTTTCGATGTGCTGTGATAACTAAAGAGTATTAATGCTTCCTTTGCAGTGTTCTGCCAGCAGGATCTGTGCGTTGCTGGCATTTTCTCAAACTTGACCCGTTCGCTTGTGCAGGACTTCCCACAGAGCCTGAAAAGGACAGTTGTGTATCTAGTTTCAGTGCTGGTCACCAAAAGCAGTAAGGATGTGTTCTACAATGGGTATTTATTTTTTGTGGCTGTTTTCCATGGTTGTTGTTTTTTTTTGGTAACTCTAAAGATTGAGCCAAAGCAGGAATCATTCCTCTCCCCTGCTAGCAGGCTGGTGACGGCTGTCTTGGGCTCTCAGTGAGTCTCGGCTGCCCTTGACCGACTTCTGTAGAGGTCAGATTTACCATACAGTTGCGTATCTAGCCAAAGGGGCTGGCACCAGCCTGCACTGTTCCAGTCCCGCCCGGTTGCATGTCCTTGGTCCGTCTGCTCTTGGCAACTGACGCGGGTCTCCTCTGGTTTGCAGGAGCAGGCCAGATGCTCGCAAAGGCCACAGGCTGCATCGACGCCCTCCTGAAGATCTTCAGGTAATGGGCATCTCCGTCCCTCTTCCGTGGCGGGTGTGGTGGTCTGAAGAAGTCCCACTCAGTGGCTCTCCTGTCTTTATGAAGCACGAGCTTTCCTGTTGGAGACGGCATCGTGGGGGCAGCGAGTGCCACAGAGCTGTACCAGCTGTGGGCAGCGGTGTCAGGTGCCCTCTGCAGCTCTGTCAACAACCCACAGAATGGTAGGGCACACAGCCTACTTCTCATGGCTCAATTTTGACTGCACCTTACACAGTCAACCGTGCTTTGATGAGGGGTGCGTGACAGTTTTGGGGCAGTGTGTGGCTCAGTGGGTTAGGATTCTGTGCCTGTGATCAGAAGATTGCTGGGTCAAATCCCTGGGCCAATCCCTGGATTTTGCTGTTGTACCCTGAGCAAGGCCCTTAACCCCCAATTGATCCAGGGATCACCTGCCCTTGTGTACTCAAAGATGTGTGTTGCTTTGGATCAAAACTTCTGCTAAATAAATAAAATGTAAAAATATAATACTTCGAATCTGAATTACAAGGCCCATTGAGACACCTGGTGTTGTCACTGTGACTAAATATGCGTTTAATTATATAATTATGTAAGTCCAATTAAGAGCTGAAGCTGCATGGAAATCAGAATGCCTTGCAACCTGCCTTAAGGAGGACTTTATAATGATAAATTAAGCATGACAAGAAGAGACAAAATAATACTGCAGGTCCGTTGCAAACGCACATGACCGAACATGATGTTCTGTCCAAACAGGCCCCAAATCACATGCTCCTTAGTCTTGCAGCCTCTCGGTCATATAAGAGACTTAAAGGTGTGTTCTTCAGTGCTGGGTCCAATAGGCTAAAACAGCCACATTTAGTGGGGTGGAGCCGCAGGGTGTGAGACTCGCCCAGATGTGTTTGCAGCGCATGTTTTCCTGTCAGTCAGTATGCTGTGGCGATAGAAATCTGGGCTGACAGATGGAATGCACTCGATGTACAGGCTCACTGATTCATGCAGCGTCTTTTCTTTTCTTTTTCTTTCTTCCAAAGATGCTTCAGAAACACTCCTTAATGCTCACAGATTGTCTGATTTTTGACTCAGGGCTGCTCAGGTTAATTCAAATCAAAGTTCATATATGACATTCATACACAACATGCAGCAGTAGATATAAGCAATGAGTTTCCCTGAAAGCTCCTTATAGTAAAGTAAGTAAATAAAAGTAAATACCGGTAAAAATAGTAAAAGAGCAAAAAAGTGTTTGAGCGTGCAATAGAAGTGAAAACAGTTTGTAGCTGGAATGGCTAGAATCCTTGAGGATGGACCCGTTGCCATATTAATCGTGTATTTTTTTCCTGTTTTACACGGCAGAAGAGAATCAACAGCTGTGCACTTCCACCTTTCCAGCGGTTAAAATGTGGCTGCAGGAGTTCACCCAACCGAGGAAGGAGATGGCGCAGCCCATATGCTCCCTCATAGCCATGATTGTTGCCAACAACTGTGAGTAGGCCACACGTGTGCAGGTGCATGCATGGTACACACGAGTAAGCGAGAAGGCCCTCTTTATGTAAAAGATCACAGCAGGGGTCATACTAAAAGTGCTTTCAGGAGAGGTCCCTTCAGTGTGCTTAGGTCTGTTTTTTAGGGACGCTATATTACACCTTTTTGTGCCAGTTTTGTATAAGGACAGCAGAGTGGCTCTGCACATACTGGTCTGACGGCTCCTGCACCGTGGGCCTGATTTCATATCCGCTCTGCATGTGGACTTTGAATTTGTCTCTCCATCTTGTTGTCTCCTTCCACGGGCAAACAGTGTTGGGCATTTCCAGTCCAGAAGCTACAAATCCAGACCAAGATTTTGTTTCTACCAACCAGCTGAACATAAAGAGTCACAGTCACAGAGTACTCAACTGGTTAGTAGAATCAAAATCTTGTACTGGATTTGTAGCTTCTGGACCTGAAATGCCCAACGCTACAGGTAAAGACGTGCTGTTGGATGTAGGTGGGTTTGTATCTGTAATATTCATAATGTCTGTGAGTGCCTGGAGATTACACTGGTGTTCCATCCAGGGTGTTTCTTGCAATGGAAAAACAGTTATGGCAGACAAAGAGATGGCTGGATGAATTTTTAGATATTGGTTCATGGTTCCACTTTGTAAATTGTATGCTCGTCCATCTGGACTTTCCTCCTCATTAGTGCCGAATATCCACGGCTGGAAGCACACTGTCCATGGATTGTGTGATAATCACTGGATTTGGTGAGATGCACCAGAGAGGAAGCAGGTGACGAAGCTAGTGGTAGCTGTACAACTGTGCTGGAGACCAGTCAGGTGCCCGATGCAGCCAGCAGGGGGCCGTAGGGCCAGCTGAGGCTGACTGTAAAGGCAGCATGAATTATTGAGTGGCCTTTATCAGTTAATAGAGCTGATGGGGAACTGTGAGTGAGTGCAGTGGTAAATCAACCAAAACGTTTCAGAGGGTACTATACGCTCATGTCAGTCATTTGCTACCAAGTCTTTGAGAAAACAGAACTAGGAATTAATTCAATTTAAAATGAAATCCCCCCTCAAATTTTGCATTATGAAGACCTATCAAATCCTCATTCTTTTGGTCAGATTTTGTCTGTTTTGCCAGTTTCTTATGGATAGAAAGTGGTGGAATCCTGCTGTTTTTGTACTCAAGCCAGAGCTATATAAAACACTGTTCTATGTCTATAGCTTGCTGGTTTAATCCAACAGCAGTTGTCCAGTGTTTTTCAGTCGCTTGTAACCTATTCCGAAATGCAGCGCCATTTTCTGTGGGCTGGTAGTATGGTAGTACACTCTAACCCTGTACCTGTGCACATGCCATATAGGACAGTTAAGCAAAGAGTGTTTTACTGTGAATCTTCGGAAGGATGTTAACACTGTTACATGTATTTCAGTGGAATAAGTGCTGTTTACAAAAGATAACAAGCACTAGTTTTATCGTTTGGTGTCAGGGATTCTAACAGGCATCGATTCACCCTATCAGGAATCCCCCTGTGTCCCTGATGCTTCTCTTTAACATTTGACTTCATTACAAGCTGATAAAACAGAAATCCAGTTTGACGTGCTTTAATTAAAATGTGTAAGAGTCCACTGATTCATTGCCTTTTGAAGGCTCCTGGTTCGTACGTTGTCTAGCTCCTTAATTACATCGAGCTGATATACATGTGCTTGAACTGAAATATCTCTCTAGCTTTTTAGATGAGCAAGCGTGTTATTGTAATGAAGGCACCCGCATGATTTCTTTTAGGTTTGATTTTCCATGTTACTGGATTTGAATTCTCTAATAGTATTGAAGTTATTTAGCATTTGTAAATGTGACCTCACGTGTCAGCTTAGTGGAAAGCTGCCCCCCCCCCCACCCCACCACCATAATTAAAACTAAAAATAGTTACACTCTTGAAAAGGCGACAGTGAAAGTGGGACCTTGCCGACTCTGTGTGTTGTGTGCATATTATAGTCTCTCCCTCCCATATTCTCTGCTCCCTCTTCTCTGAAGCCTGTGCCCAGGTCTGCTTCGCCTCTGTGGGGGGGCTGGATGCGTTGGCCCGGTGTTTGCTACAGCTAGTGCCCGAGTCCAGGAGAAACCCCTCAGCCCGTGAAACAGCCGTCGCCATGACGAGGGCGCTGTGCGCCTGCATCAGCGAGAGCGGTGAGCGAGCGTTCGGGCGGGTGGGCTGGCGCGGGGGTCACGTCGGGGCGACATCTCGCCAGCAGCAGTCCTGTATCTGATTAGCGTAGCACCGCTGACGAGAGGGTTATAGCAGAGTTGGGGGCAGAAGGGGCTTCGGCCCTTACAGCTCAGTCGCGAGTGACCGGCGTCTCGATCCCCAGCACTTCTGGCCTCCGCCTTGGCTCAGCAGCGGCTTGTCCCTCAGTTCCTGACCCTACTGTCCTGCCCCAGCCTGCATCCCGCAGACCAACTCTGCATCATCCTCACGCTGGGCCACTGCACCCAGGCCAGTGGTAGGTGCTCTCTCCGCCGCTTGCATCATCTGCATCTATTTATTTATTTAACCCATGGCATTTATCTGAAGATCCGCCTTAGGCTCCCCCCTGTACTTAACCGTTCTCTATGTCACTCTTTCGCCCAGGGGATGGATAGCAGGAGCGACTTAAAAACCGCTTTGAAGCTCCTTATACGCCGCGTGTTGCTGAAAACGCAGGCCTGTAATGTTTTTTCACTGCAGCCTAGATGCGTCTTCGCTGCTCCTCCTACCAGCTCATCCATAAAAACAAAATGAGAGAACTGTAATAAAACATGACATGTAACCGTCTTTGTCCCTTTCTGTAGAATCACTAAATGTGAAGCAGAGTTTTCAGTATTGTAAATACATAGAGCCCTAGAGAAAGTATTGTTGTAGCAGAAAAATAACTTTATTGCGGAACATCACTATTATATCACAATAGAATATGTCAGAAGGTTAAAAATGAGGTTTTCCCGTCGTTAATGGGTCATTAATGGGAGGTGGCATGCTGGGTCAGTGGCTAGCACTGCGGCCTCACATTTTTAGGGTAGGCTTGGTAGGGTTTGCCTGTTCTCCTCGTGCTTGTGTGGGGCATTTCCAGGTACTTCTGCCTCCAGTCTAAAAACATGCGACATTTGGTCTTTCTGAATGGCCCTTTGTGTGTGATTGTGCGTGTGCCCTGTGCTGGACCGGTGTCCTGTTCAAGGTAGTCCTCTGTCATTAGTTTCTGGGGATAGGCTGCAGGCTCACTGTGACGCTGTAATGAATTAGTAATTATGGAAGATGGACGGATGGATATTACTGTCAATTATAATAATCTCCCTTAACGTATCCCTCTAGGGAGAATATTCTAATAATTTTTCTCATTTAAAGGGTGTGTCTCACTGTTGATTTCATTGCATTGAATACTGAATTCGCATTCGTCACACCTATGAAAAAATATAATGAAGTCTTTGTTGTTTCTTTTATTAAGTTACATTCCTTTATGTTTATCTTATGTACTGTTAGCTCTTTGTACAAGAACTTTTAAAGAAGTTTTAATGTATCAGCCAATGTGTCCAGCAGAGTAACAACACTGAATGCCATCACTAGTAATTTTGTATGACTGGCTGGGGATATTGAAAGAAAATGTATTAACATAAGTTGGTACCACTTTACAGTAAGGCTACCCTTATAAAGGGTTTATGGATGGTTTATAATCAGGTTATTAAATAGGTTGTAACACTTTGTAAATCATTAATAGACAATTATAAACAAATTATAAACAGCTTTTTTTTGTAATTAATGAGTTACTACCATTTAGAAGTGGCAAAAGGGAGCCTTATTGTAAAGTGGTGCCTATTAGTAAATGAAAAATAAACTGCAGTTAGTCTCGATCTGACTGGCTGAGGGTTTGTTTGCCACACTCTCTCTGCGCTTTCCGCTGCACAGCATCTCTCCCTCCGTGCGCTGCTCCTTCCCATCATTCAGTGCGTTTTCCACAACGACCTGTCATCTCTCCGGCGCAGAGGCCCACCAGTACCAGTTCGTGCAGAGCGGAGGGCTGTCCCACCTGATAAAGCTGCTGGCTGAGTCCCAGGACGAGGAGCTGAAGAAGGGCGCCACCTTCGTGCTACAGACCTGCAGACTGATGAGTGAGTGAGGTGGCGCGATTATCTGTGCCGGTCTCTGTCTGTGTTCAGCATGTTGTGCTGCTGTCCCTGTGACTGTTAGGATCAGGAAGGTTCTAAACACACCTTAGGTGCTCTGACTGTGCTGTTACAGTCACAGACGGGCTCTTAGGTTTAGGGCATTATATATTTTCTGTCTGCCCCTTTGTGCCTCAGCTGAGGGCTGCTCTAGTATGCGTCCTGGCACAGAACACACACTGACACCTGAAAAATCCTTCTCATCGAGCACAGGAACGGCTGTTAAACAAGCTCCGTATAGCATTGCTTGGCGCCTGCAGGGCGATCGCTGCCTAGGCCAAGGCGAGATACGCTGTTATCTCACAGACTGATTAGTGACTGTTTTTCCCTTACAAGCCAAGGCCTTATGCGCGGGCGGCAGGAACAGCCCCTCACAGGCTGACCCCCGTGACCTCGGTGACCCCGACGACCTCCAGCGGAACGTCTCGTCAGTCTGCGACCTGGAAAGTTACCAGAGGTCGGCACAAGAAATGCTGCAAAGGATCAAGCGCCTAGAGAGAGGGCTGGCTGGGGTGAGGCTCCCAGAGCAGGGGGGGTTTAAATGGCTATCAGGGCGTTAACGCTTACCAAGCTATGGGGGCACTGCCACAAGGTGACGTGTAGATTAGAGGCATCGCGTCACATGGCTGTTTCCCTCTAGGCCATGTTACGGTTTAACCTTTGAAAGTCGCCGTTCTGTTTGTTTTTCCTCCACAAAGCTTCCCTTCGTAGTTTTCTACTCGACGTATGAATTCCGTTCAATCATTCACAGAGTTCCACAAAAAAATTCCCGCAGTGCAAATCTTTTTTTGACATGTGTGTTAGTGTTGTGTGGCTGTACCACGGTTTAAAGTTTTCTCGCCCGTGTAATAAGGCATGCAGGTAACACAGCTTGGCAAGAAACAGAGAACGTCGGGCCGTGAATCCTAATTTTAGAATCTGCAGGATAAGACGTGGGCTTTCTGTCACCCTGGGCAGGTCCTCTGGGACGGTGCTGTTGACGGGGAACGGGGCCCTGGAAATTCCACATTTAAATGGCATGCCCCGCCACAGTGGAGTGTAGAGACAGGCACAAGAAAGCGGCACCGATCTTACCCTGTGCCTTCCCCCGTCAAATTCTATGAGAGCACCCCATACCGGAAAGCGCAAGCACGGACGGATGGGACCAGGAGGAAATCTACTGAGAGTCTAGAAGGTCTGTTTGAGAGAGGGGAGCTGACTCCGATCAGGCCCATTGCCATCCCACAGAAGGGTACAGGAAGCAGGAACGATGGGGGAGCCGGGAACCCCAAGGATATAAGCTGTTCAGAAACCAGGGATCAGGATGAGGTTCAGACGGTAAGCCAACGTGCCGCTTACTCTCACCACGTCGGACACAGCGGAACACGGGTCCAAGGCCTCCTCCGCGCCTACAGCCACGTCACATTTCACACATCCTTTTGCTCCCTGCCGTTTGGCAGCCTCTGAGATATAGCTCAGATTGATCATCATGTAAGCCATAGCAGTCAGAACCTGTATTAGCTGTTTATCAGAAATGAAATGTGGGAGGGCAGGATTCCATTCTGGGTGTTTGTCTCAGTTTACTCTGACGCCTGTTTGCAACAGCTCTTGTCCCTTCCGGCCAATCTTCATAATTTTTGCCATTGATTCTGATGTTAATTATCCTAAATAGGAGCTACGTTCGTTCCATGTGTGCTAATGTCACCTGTGGGGCTGTCTGTCTAGAGTCGGGTGAGGAGGCAGATCTTCCAGAGCACCGCTGAGCAGGGTGAAGCCACCTCCCCGCAGCAGATCCCGACCAGTAGCCAGAGACCCGGAACCGGGTCCGGACCCCCGCGGCAGGTGCCTCGGCCTGTCGGTTCTGTTTCGGGGCTGTGGTACCAAGCTGCTGGTACTCAAGGCTCCACAGAACAGGGGGGTGTTCTCTGCTCCATGTGTAGGGTCAGACTGGTTCCTGAGGGCCAACCCCAGTCTCTGTCTGCAGAGCCACGCGAGGAAGGCGTCTCCCCCCTCAAAGGCCCCATGAGGTATCCCCGTGGACCAGTGCCGTCACACAGTACATCATAAAGCAGCACCGCTCTGGTGATCTTAGTTTATTTCCTTCCTGCTTGACCACATGCTCTTCAGCTCTGAAAAGCAAGGTTGTCTCAACACCAAGGAATGTCTTACGCATTGTTGACACAAGCGGTGTGACAGAACGTGGCCCCTTATTAATGCTCCGCACTTGGATGTGACCAGCTGCCTGGATTATGAGCTAGTCTGAGATCTGGCCCTTGCTCTGAGTCACACAGCAGAAGCAAAATCTTAACAGTTTGCCCTCTTGCTGTAGTTTTAAAGGAGCAGTTGTGCAGGGGGCCCCATGTGTGAGGGGTTGTGTGTCTTGGGGGCCCAGTTGAAGTAATGTTGTCCCAGGCTTGGGAATGATGTGCATTCCTGTCCTGTGGAAATGTGAGGCTCTGAGGAATGACCTCTAAATCTGACCTCCAAGATGACAGATTATATGGGCTTCTGTTCATCTCCCCCCCCCACTCCCCCCTGCAAAACATAGTATACAGTCAGGTGGAGTATAATTGTAGGTGCTGCCAAGTACAGTTGCCCCCATCCAGGCTGAATTGTGGCTGTGGAAGCTGCTGATCCTGTTTGCTGATGGCAGGTGTGCCGCCTTTGGGTGCCCAGTCCCGCCTTTTTTCCATGGGGTTATGGGCATCAGAGCAAAGGGGAACGCGGCCATGCATGCTGCCAAATGCCAGCGCCGAGCAGCCATCCTACACTCTGCCCTTCTGAGGCCTCGATTGGGCAGCAGCTTACCACTCACCACGTGCCCCTTCCCTTGTGTGCTGCTATTGCAACACACTCTGCTCTTCATTTAACTGCCTCTTAGGGGGTAACATTTGTAAGTGGTGCGTCTGCATGGAAAAATGTCCAGGCATTTCTGGCTTAATTGCTGTTGTTTTTCAGCCAAGCAGGTCCCGTCAAGGAAATCCAGAGTAAACCACACATCCAAGGTATAGTAATCCTCTTTGTGACATTCTAAAAGAATGCATGAGTTGCATTTGTGAGCATGTCACTAATTAAAGGCATTTCCCAGATCACACGTCTTTGTGCTCTGAGACGCTTGATGACAAAATCAGCATGATACTAAAAACTCCAGCCAAACTGAACCAGCAGGTCTCCTATCGCTGCTCAGGTTAGTCACAGAAGCGAAATGCAAACTGCAAACACACAGAGCAGAGGTGAGATTCAAACCCCCAGCCCTACAGGTTTGAGGCAACAGAGCCAACCACCAAGCTACATAATTTGCATCAGTTTTCCTTAAATGACATAGTTATAAAACATATTACTATAGCACTATGCACGCTAACATTGTTAGACCAGCTTGAGAGTGGGGGACAGAGGAACAAATCCTTGCAAAATTTACTAGAGGCATCTTCTCTTGAGGGAGACTCAATGGATGCCACCAGAATCCCCTTGTAGAATAGCCAGGCTCACTGAAGGGAACTTCACAGAGGGACTTCCTGTTTGATGAGATGCCTCCTGGGCACATATGCAGCCCCCCTAAGTAGGAGGGGGGGGGGGGGGGGCTAACCAAGCGTCAGCACGTCCTGGCAGAACAGCCTGGGTGTCTCCTGTTAGCTCTTGTTTTATTTCTACTCAGGCAAAGATTTGAAGTTAAAAAACATTAGTGTGTAGCCATAAGCCAAAGTCCCTCATAGTTCCTGTTAAAATATTGTAGTTTGTGTTGTAATATATGGCTGTTGGGAGCAGATTTATAAACCTGCTGTCAGACGTGATACACGGGGTTTTTTTTCCGCTCAGGGATGTTGTACATGCCTATGTAAATGTGTGCCGTTAGAAGATGTGGCAGGCCTCTCTGCTTATTTCCCATCAGGCTGTGCAGTGAGCTTCTCTCTGGCGAACAGTAGGAACATCCCGCAGATCCTCCGCGATTGCCAGCACAAGTGTGACAGGCATATGGTCCTGCTGGAGGCTGAGGGCCGCTTCAAAAGGGCTATCAGGGAGTTAGTCAGGAAAAAGCCTGGTGCTTTCAGGCACCCCGCACGTAAGGAGCTTCGGGGCTGCCGATCTCCTCGCGGAGACCCTGCTGTGTCCGTGTCGCCGGAGACCCTTCGGTGTCCGTGCTGACCATCCCTTTCTGCCTCGCTCTTGCTCTGCCTCTTGTCACGAATGGTACAGACCAATATACTAATCTTTGTTAGCACATTAACCCAGGGCAGCTTAAAACAAGGACGTTAAGGGTCAGCTGGCAGTCATCACATTCTCCTCCTCTGCAGGCTTACAGTCCCATCAGGGGAGTTAGCATGCTACCTCAAAGATGCTAACATTTTTGTTACAATATATGCAAAGCTTGAGTATAGCCTGAAATACGGAACACTGTTGTTGGCTGAATGTATTTGCTTCTGCCTTTAAATGCCGGATAAATGTTGTCTTTCTTGTAATGTTGTGGAAATTCCCTCTGACCTTGAAATATCTTATTAGCTATTAGCCTGCTGCCAGCACTGCCAGCCAAAGCATATCAGGCAGCTTACCAGCACCTCTGATATGAGTGTGTGTGTGTGTGCGTGTGTGTGTGTGTGTGTGGATGAGATCGGGGAGAGGGTTCATATGGTAAACTCACGGTAGAAATCTGTTGTAGAGTGGTTTAAATGCATCTTGAGGAAACAGACTGGGGGAATTTCGACTTGTTTGGGTCTAACTCTTATGAGGACTTATTTTAAAAACAATTTCAGACATTCTTATAGGAATCTTAGTCCGATTATGGTGAGCCTTTACAATAGTGCAGAATCCTACCTTTATAAAAAGTGGAATAAGTCGCCTACCTTTAGGTCTGAGAGGCATTTGGCCCAACCACAGATGTACAATGCCAAAATGTGCCAAAACCGGAACTGCACCCACGCCATTGTCGCCATGGATATGGCTGTGTGGGCATTGCGTGGGGAGGACATGCGACAGCCTCGGCTGCCAGCCCCCACTTCCCGCACTGCCTGAGCCAGCAGAACTGTGTGCAACTGGGGAAGAGCCTCGACACAAACTCGACGTTGAAAAGCATGTTTCGTGGGACATATGCTCTTCTGCCCACGCGTAATGCTGACCGTTTTCTCTCCACCCTTACAGGTCCAAACCTGACACCGTTGAACAACTGGGGTTCTCCAAGGACACCTTGGAGGAGCACAGATATGCCATGTAATGGCCATCGTCCGCCTTGAAAGCCTCGGCTTATCGTGCTGTACATACCTGCCCAGAAAGAACCATGAAGGTTTTGGGCCCACTGTATAAGTGGTTCAAAAATGCTGAAAAATGCTTTGTCTTTTTTTTTTTTATTGAAAAACTGAGAAGTTATTTATCCTGTACTAAATAATGTGTAATAGTTATTAATCCTGAAAATTATTCTGTTTCTCTTCCTTTGTTTTGAAATCTGGTGAATCGCTAAGTCCTTGTATTGATTAGCGTACATATTATTGTATATACATCGATTAATTAGGCTGTTCCCATTTATATTTAAGGTTTATGTATTTAATTTATGTATAGGAATTGTCAATGTCCATTTCACCTTATTCTGTTGTTTTAGGAACTTAATTTCTTTGTTACTTTAATGATTGTCTGTATCTACTACGAAGCCCTGGGGGAGCATCCAGTACAGGATGTCAGTCCATCACAGGCACAGATACACGCAAACAGTCACGCACATGATCACACATTACAAGCATTTCATAGATTTCAGTTAACTGAAGTTGAGGAAACTGGAGTCCCTGGAAGAAACGTGTGTAGCATGAGGAGAACATGCAAACTGTTCTCACACACATGTCCTGGCCTTTCAAGTAGCTGCTAAAGATGGAAATTGAGAACATACTCCGATATTGACATGGAAAGACAAAGCTTACATTTATTTCCTTTTATATTTCTTGCTCTCCTTCATCTGCACTTTTCAATAAACACCTTGGTCCAGGTTCCTTGTTGTAGTGATAAAAACAAGATCAGAATCAGAATCTGTTTCATTCTCGCCAAGTGTATGTGTATGAGGAATTTTGATATGGTATGTCAAATGACTTGAGCCTGATTGTTTGGCACACTAGTGGAAAACTTGTTTCTCCTCTAAATTATCATACGGACTTCTTTTTCTTGCAGGTATATCTCTGACTCCTCTTAAGGAACCTCAGAATACTCAAGGTAACTATTGCTTCATTCTCTGTCCTGTATGACTTCCTGTATGACTTGATTTGAGAGCTCATACCTTTGGGCCTAATAATGCAATGGTTCAGGGTGAATGAGTTCATCTCATGTGTAACAAAGGTGCTAGTATTTGTTTCTGTTGCATGCTATAGCCGTTAGCTACTTATCATGTCTTCAGTATGACAGAATCTGTCCATCTGAACTGTGGGAATGTGGGCCTTCGGAACGGGTAGGTATTTTTGCTGCAGCTGTGCTCCCCGTCAGGTCCGGTCGCTAAACAAACAGCCCTTTGATTTGACTTGCTACAGGGGGTCGCGATGCAGGGAAAGATAAGCAAGATGGATCAGAAGAATGTCTGTAAATACTTGTCATATCTCTTACCTCGTTTCAGTTTTTGTGTCCGTACATGAGCAAATACAGCTAAATACACCTGGGAAACAAAAGCCTTTATTTATGGTAGTAAAGTAAAGAATCCCCCCTTGAGTGTCATAGCCACAGTGTAGTGGGCGGGTTCTGTGCTCTGCGTTGTGTGAATGGCCGTACTGTTCTCCAGTCCATTTGCTGGCATATGCTGTGGCTAGACGTACCTGGGGGTAGTGTTCTAGCCACCTGTGAACGATACTCACTCCCCAGTCTGTGGAGGACAGAGGGTGGTCCTCCTGATTCCATCCTTAGTTCTTTCTTCTTGCACCTTTTAACAAATTTTTCATAATTTTTTAGCATTGAGTTGCCATCCCCAATCTCAACATCCTCCGTTCTCCTCCTTGCCCTCATCTCTCTGCCCTCAAGCTTTTTCTTGCTTGTTATGTGGCTGCAGTTTCTGACCCACCGCCATTGCCTTCATGTATAAATAATTCACTACGACAGCCCCCCCCCCAGCACAGCAGCCTTAAGTGACGCAGCCTGTGATTCAGCCGTCGCCACCGCATTCTGAATATGCAAGGTCATCGAATGTGCACTTGAGGTGGACAATTGGCTTCTCCTGGACTTAAAATACCAGAGACAAGGGTTAATCTTTTTTTCACTTATTGGAATGGGTGCTTTTACATTAGCCTGAATGACTTCCCCTGTAATGTAGGGTGTTTTAAATTGTTTCGAATAGTGCTGCTGTTGTAATTGTCATTGTATTTTTTGCACACTTTGTCTTTGAACAGACGTATACTGCTCTACTTTACACAGTAATTCTTTATGATATGTTAATAGAGTAACCCCTTGACATTCGCATGGATTAGGGGCAGAAGATCCCCAAAAATGTGAAAATTCGCGAACAATCTTGAGCCCTGCTAACCTCAACCTATAACAGTCAGCTAGCCTGAACGATAATATAAAAAGTCCATTTATTGCTAATTCCTAAATAAATAGTACTGTACTGTACACTTTACATCTCGGATTACTTTATCATTTCCTGTCGTCCTTTTTATATAATACACTAACCATCTAAATTATGCCCCTGTATGTACAAAGTTACTGCTGTATGCACTGTGAGCAATACAGTTTGGACTCATTATTAAAAATGTAAAATTAACGGCAATGAAACGTTTACAAGTTCCCGAGAGAGATGCAATGGGCAGAAAGACAGCTAACACGTCAGGGAGGCTGTTTGCCGAGACAATTAAAGATGCCCTGTGTACCCAAGCCAGGACTTAAATATGAAAGTTATAGTACGCACTTACACTAACAAGTATTATGTATTATTAATATTTATATATGATATGATTTTAAGTGTTCCAAATCATTTTCAGTAATGTTTTTGGCTGCATATTTCTGTGATCTTTTGACCAGCTCCAAAAATATTTCTTTTATTGATCATGGCCAGCTCACGAATGACTGAAACCATGAATGTGAAAGGGTTGGTGTATAATGTATAGGTGTATAATCTTAAGTTAAATGTTAATGTTAAGTTAAATGTGGTTTCTTCAGGGTAATTGTCTGTATATGTTGCTCCGTTATAAGGATAGCATATTGCGACCTTTCATGACATTGATTTTTCTTGGCAGGCTTTTTTTTTTCAGGTCAGGTCTCCATAGTTGTAATTCATATATTGAATCTATGCCTATCAGTCAAACACACCTGGGGTATTTGCACAATTGACCAGATTTATGTCTCCAGGCAGCCGTTGTAGCTGTAGTAAGTAATGCGAGTAGCAAGAGAGGACTTCCGTGAATCGTCTCTGTATTTAACCTATGAATTTGCTGTGGTCATTCGTCTCAGCCATGCCTCATGGAACCAGTAAATGGAGCCGGTGGTCCAGATTCATTACACCATGTTCTTAAAAACAAAATATATAATGCAATTAACAAAGTTCCTCACTCTCTAACCTGTTTATGTGCTCTGAAAAGATGGAAGATCCTATGGGTCCTTTACCGTCTCCCTGACTTTAAATAATGGCCCGGAATGATTGACTGTCTGTTAAATTCAGTTTTTCTCCCTCTGCTCCCTCTGATGGCTGGGGAGGTGGGGGTCGGGTGCCCTTCCAGAGGGCCGCTGTCGGCATGCTGAGAGCCCGCCTCGGCACTCTCACGGGGGTGCTGTCCTTTGAGAGCGCGCACAGCTCTGCACCACAGGTTCCGACAATAAATGCATTATGTAGAGGAAAGCCACAGGCCGCGTGTGGCTATTAAACTAACCCAGAAATCAATATGGATCTTAACTGCCTTTGCTCCCTAATTGGCACCCGTAGTCTTTGCTCATTGTCGGCGCTGAATCGCCTAGCGAGCCGGCCACGATTCTCAGAGGGGGAGATTCTCCGGCAAATGTGGCCAGATAGCAGTTTATAGTAAAAAAAAAGCGACGAACGGCTTCATTACTGAAAATATTACTTACAATTCACTTTCCCTGGGTGTCTGTTGGCTTTTTGAGAAGGTATGGGAATATCTGTTTAGCTTGGATGAATGCGAATGGGGGGGGGAATTTCTTTGTTACAAAAAAGCCATTAGGGTGACGGCAACAAAATCTCAACTGTATCTCTAGCCAATAGCCTGACCCCTCTGCATAAATAATGAATGATCCAATTGGCTTGTAGCCAGCTGATACCCATTAGCCCAGGGCTTGGCTTGGGGGTGGGGGGAGGGGGATGGGAGGAGAGGCGTCTTTAATATAGATGGGGTTTTTTTTTTCGTTTGGTTGTCACGGTGTACACTTCTTTTTTGATGCAGATAAGCGGGTAAACCAGGAGCACTTGTCATCCGGCAAGAAAGACTTGGAGCGAGAGTCTGGGAACACATACCGGGTAAATATATCTTGTTTAAGAAAGAAAGCAACTTTAACTGCACGTAATAGAGTTATAAAATAATCATGTGAAATGTATGGGCCACCTGTGCTGCTTTGCCAATAAAATAAACGTAAGTGTGAAACAGGACACGGTGCTGTAGTGTCGCAGCCACACTGATGAGGGCACCTTAAATCAAGCGTGACTCTGCTATCTTCAAGGTCCCAAGTGCTGAGTGTCCTCAACGTAGAGAGAGGAAGGACTTCACGGAGGAGGAAGTCCAGTACCTAATGGATGGAGTGAGGAGGCTAGGACCCTCTTGGAACTCCATACTGTGGTCCTACCCCTTCCAGAATGGGAGAACCAACGTGGATTTGGCAAAAAAATACCGTCGCTTGCAGGCAAGATTCCCATCTGTGTCCCTTTCTATTTTTTGTTGTTGTTTCAAAGTAAGTTTTAACACAAGGAAAGGCTGATTAAAAATTAATATTTAGTTTTAACTAGGGCCATTGATTACATAATCACTGGAGCCTTTCATAATTTTTTCATGATTCCCTCACCAAAAATTCATAAAGCATGTCAGATAGGATTAACATGAAGCTTTTCTAAATATGACCAAGTGGCTAAATATGCTGGCTTTTGTTACTGCTTGGGATGTTTTTAAATTAAGTTTTATAGGTAGCGTAACACTGATTGTTCTTTGATCTTTTTCAGAATGCTCAACAGCTGGCTGTGGACACCTCACGTAACTAAGACTAGAACCAAAGCTTTAATAACTGCAGTTGAATGTGTAATTATTCAGTAGTTTTTTTTCTCTCAAATATGTTCAAGGCAAACCTAATTTTTTGACTATTAAGAGTAACATACTGCAAAAATTGCATTTAAAATGGTTGTGTTTGAAGTTCAGTGACCACTTGTTCAAAAATAAACGTGAAAAAGGTTGTTCTTCGGTTCAACAGCTACACAAATGCATCAGTTGTCAGACACTGCTTACTTACTTAATAGGCTTTATGTCGGATGATGGGTGTCAAGCAGTGTTTCACTGTCCCTAACTCTTGCATATTTGGTTCCTGGTGCGTCATCAGTGCTTACTGCTGATTCATTTGTCACTCATTCCCCCAGAAGGTTACGTCATTTGGACCGGAGTGATTTCAATAACTAGCGTGTGAAATGCAACGGCAATAATCGTAATATTTACCGTGCTTGTCCAAGCCCTTGAAGACTAGAGTAGTTCTTCCTGAGTCCTTGTGGGGGGGGCTGAGTGGAACGTTCTTCTCTCATAAATCTACATCGCCGTCCCCTCCCCTGTAAACCCTCCAGTAATATTTATGGCTCTGTGTCCAGAGAAGCTTGATACACAGGCAAGCACAGGGATGTAGATATTCTCTTGGTTTAGATACCACCTTTCTCTTTTTGAAGGGATTCAAGCTCTTGTGTATCAGTCAGTCCTTCAGGCCAATGTATGGGTATTGTTATGGGTAACTGTGCTTGTGAAAGAACTCATGCCACCCCCACCCCACCCCCACTGGTGCAGAGTGATGGGAAGCCGTGTGAAATTATTACCCTATACTGGTGAGGAACCATATATGGTGACTTTGTTGACCTTGATTTGCAACATAAAAAAGTCACAATAGAAAAAAGTCTTGTAATATCTTCCAATAACACTCTAGGGTTGAAATTTTGAATTTCCAAGTATTTAAATTAAATTAGTGCCCTACAATGGGTTACGCATTTTTCATGTCCCTTGGAATCTGTGATGTCTTGATAGCCTGACACATCACCCTGGGACTGATATTTATGAAGACCAGAAAGAGCTCACCATTAGTCTGCCCATGCCTCATAGAAGAGCTTGTCCTTCCAACCCTGTCCCCTCCCCCATAAACCGTTTCCTCAAAACAATCTATTCCCCTTCCCCCCTACCCTACCAGTCTGAAGAGGAGGTTGTGTGTGTGTTGCCATAGAAATAGGCTTTTCTATAAAGTCACAATTCACCAATTAAACATTTAAAATTAGTTTTCAGTGATGCAATTTTGCGGCAGAACAATAATAGATATATAAGAAAATAAGTTCAGCCATTTATTCTTATGAAAAATCATTGAGGATAGCACTAAATCATGTTTTGATAAAAGGATTGTATGAAGTATGTAAATGGTAGGTTTTTATTTCAGTGTTGTTGAGACGCAGTCAGTTGTGTAGGGTTAGTCACTGTAATTCTGCCTTAAGGGTATATATGCCAGCTTCCAATATCTGCTTATAAAATGTGTTATACAGTGAATTGTGCTAGTCACTGAATGCACATTTTTAAGGTAAAAATTTTTTATTCTTAGAGACCAAGTGATTTAATTAAAATGAGCATTCCATTACCGGTCGTTCCACAGCATGTCATTTTAACAGTTAAAGTAAGAATATGTGAAAGTCTAGATGCAGCACAAATACATTTGTTAGTCGTTTAGTTATTTAAAGGGCTACTGTCCAAATTATGTAATGTTATTTTCTGCTGTCCTGTTTTGTTTGTCAGTCATTCTGCTTATTATCCATAAACTGCAGACTCTGGAGCATTTCTGTTTCATTTTTTGTGGGCCAAAAATTCTTTAGTTCAGCTATTGCAAGCATTTCCATGATCCATTAAGCAGCTAGTGCCACCTTTAAATATGCATGTCATCAACATTTATGCTTGTGTCAGTTCTTCAGACTAAGTCAACCTCATTCGTTGTCGCGTTTATGGCTGAAGCCATGTCTCCGATGACTGTGGGGACCTCAGTGTCAGCAGTCAAGTCCTTCTTCAGGTCACAGATGTCTTTTACATGGTCCTCTTTGGGGGATCCATCAGGGGAGCTGATTCCATTGACACGTTCCTCGTTTTGTGACGTCTCAACAACTGATTTGGCAGCTTTAGTCTCCCCATTCAGCTCAGGTGTGAGACCCTCATGCTCTCCATTCTCCACCTTTAACTCCTCAACCAGAGCTGTACCACTGTCACTTGTTGGCACATCTTCAGGTGCTTCCACTTGAGCGTTCACCTCTGGCACCACAGCCGGGACAACAGGTTCTTGGTCATGTCCCTCTGCTGCACTTTCCATGACCTCTTTCTCAGCCACACTTTCTTTCACTTCATCACTTGGGAATTCATTGGTAGAAACTGACTCAGAAATAACTATCTCTGGAACAACCTCTGTCACTGCAGCCTCTGCATTTTCTGAATTTAGAGCAATGCTTGGCACATCTACTTGTGAACTTACACCTATGTCAACATTTTCAGGCTCTGAACCCACAAAACCGTCGTCAGATTTGTCTTTGACCTCCGCCTCTAGTTTTGTTTCAGTGGATTCAGCTGTTTTATCCTCATCTGTTGTTGTGACTTCAGGGAGCTCCTCTGGCAGAGGTGGAGGAACCTGTGTTGGTTCCAAGATTTCAGTATGCGTAGCATGTTCTTCCACTGTGTTTGCATGAGATTCTGTAGTCTCGCAAATAACAGATTCTTCTCGAGTCTCGAGAGCGTCTGATGGAATAATGGTCTCTGCAGTTGGTTTCTGCACTGTGGTAAGACCCACAGTTTCAACAGAAGCTTGTTCAAATGGAATCACAGTGCATTTCTGTACTGTGGTCACATCCACAGTTTTTCCTGCAGCGTTTTCTGATGGAGTAGTAGTCTCTATCTCAGTGGTGGACTTCTGTACTGTACTGACTTCCACAACAGAAACTTGTTCTAATGGAGTAACAGTCTCTGAGTCGCTGGTGGATTTCTGTGTTGTACTCACTTCCCTCTCAACGGTATCTGGTTCTGATGGCATGACTGTCCCTGGTGGGACTGTCTCTGACTCTATGGTGGGCTTGGTTCCTGCGGCCTCTTCGTTTGTCACAGCAGTACATTGTTCTGCTGGAATATCTGCTTCTGTTTGTTTGATGGGTTCGTGTATCACTGTCGTTTCTGCAGTAGCTTCTTTGACTTGAGCACTTGTCTCAGGTGTAGTCACTGGAGGCTTTGTGTCCAATTCCTTAGAAACCGGCTCAACCACAACATCAGCAGGAGGAGGCGATATGATGGGAGCAGGATTCTCCTGAATGACTTGAGTTTCAGGGGCTTGTGGAGAAAGGGTGACCACCTCCTCTGTTACTTTTGGTTCATCTGCCTTTTTCAATGCAGGGGCTTCCAAGCTTACTTGCGGCTCTGACCCACTGGATGGTTCTTCTGGCTTTTGTGTCTCGACAGGAACTGATGGAGTTGCTTCCTTCGTCACTGCCGCTGTTTTCTCTTGAGCTGCATCCGTTTCTACTTGGGTGCCTTCCGTTGCTGGAGCCTGGGATGGCACAACCTCTTGAGACACCGTAGAAGCCTCCACTGTGGACTCAGCAGAATCGTCCACGGTGGCTTGCTTGTCAGCCTCGACTGTGCCATCTATCTGCTCTGATAGTAGGGTTGCAGACTTGGTCTCAACGTTGTGGGCGTCCCCATCCTGCTTCTCTTTTGTGTCGTTGACATCATACCCCTTCTTTTTCTTACTTATCTTGCCTCCCATGGTGTGTCCTATAATAATTAAGCTACAATTAGTAATGGTGACAAGGCTTGCCCCCATGAGAAAGGCAAATGAAACAAGAATAGCTTGATGAATATTTGGTTTGCTATACAGCAGTACAAGATCATTTAAATAGCAAAGCGGAATTCAGAAAATGCTGTGCTGGCCTGCTGCCATAGCCCACTGTTTAAGGACAGCCCACTCTGGAATATTATTTTCATTTTGGAGATTGTCTGTCATGTTCTACAAGAGGTTTATGGGTACCATGGGAACCTAGATGAATACTGCACTGTAAGATCACATAATCCAGCACATACCATACAGCCACAAGGGCTTCTAGGAAAATGAACTGGTACATACAGCCTATTTCAAGCCTTCTGAATGACATTTGTCTAGAAATAAATTAATGGCCCAAGAATATATCTGGACATATGGATGAATTTATCTGAAAAAAAAAACAGCATACAGTCACAATATCATATTCAAAATGGTAAATACTATGCTGCATGTTTGAGACATAATACATAATGTGGTGCAGTAGTTATTCTACAATTACATGCCAGAAAACGGTTAAGTACAAAGGACAAGGGTTTTCTAGTAAGGGCTTTAAAAATATATGAAAAACCACGTGAACACGTCAGGAAAAGTGGATTGTGTCAAATATCCAACTGCCAAAGGTGGCACCCAGCATGACGCATGATCATGATGCTCCAATAATCAATTTGTCGTCACGTGGAAGGTGCGATCCGCATTAAGATGCCGGCCTGATTACAATGGGCGCTGTCCATAGTGCTGCACCGGGGCAATTGAGTTGCTGAGCGTCACAGGTGCAGCCGGACGCTGATTTATATTATGCGGTAACGGCAAAAGCAGCTTTGGTAACTCAACGCAACCGGTTTTCGCATGCCTGGCAATTTTCACGTTCCAAAATAATCTCAATTAAGTAATTGGATGGATTTCAACGCAGTAGAGTGGCATAAATCGGTTTAATTTAAATCAACAATGATTTATCCATGAAATGGTGACAATTGCAAAAAAAATTTATGTATTAAAATACAACTGCACAGTCCTGGGACCGAGGTCTGGTTCTGTCTTCAGTAGTGTGGTACACCTCCTGAAAGTGATCTCCTGCTGTACAATCATCAAAAGAGGAATTAATTTCAGAATTACCTACCAATACTGCTGAATCAACACTTACTCTAACCAGAGTAACAACATGAGGGGTGATATAAATAAGAAAGATCTGTTTAAAAAAAAAAGAAAAGAAAACGCCAGGACGTCTTTAGCACCAACCAGCCCCCACCCAACACCCACTGCTGCCCCTCCCGGATTTTATTGTTTAGGAACACGTACACCGGCTACCAAATGCTCCAAAAGCATTAGCAGTGTAAAACTTGGCCGCATAAAAGGGAATATTTCGCGAAAACATTGCTAGACAAGCAATACGTTGGACTACTTCGAAAGTATTCGCACGATGGCCAATGCACGGAGAAAAAAAGACACTTCCACAGCTAGTCGCTTACAGCCATGTGCACGGTTCATTTGCAGTCATCCTGAGACCCCAAACTGTTCCTCTATTCTTACATTTCAGAAGCATGGTTCATACAATGAGCGCTACACTTCATCATGGTCACACTCGTTAAGACAAATTAGAAATATTAATCCATTTAACGATACTTTATCAATGCCTATACATAAATACACCATTACGATTTCAGCATGTTAAAATTAGTAATTATATATCTTACAGGATGCAGTACATCCTAATGAAATATTACTTCATTCAGAAAAGTGTCAGTGAATCGTTTTAGTCATGTAAAAAAACATATTGTCATTCCATCCGATAAAAATCAAACAATATTCGGTATTACAGTTTGGGTTTTTAAATTGCTGAATTGGTAAAAATAGTAATGGGTTTTTAAAAGGATGTCTATGTACTCATCAAGAACAAAGGGCAGCTCGCCCAAGCGCTAAATTAAATTTCTGCAGTTTCGCTCCTTCACTGTAACACTATAGTTTAAAAGTGCGAGTTTAAGCAAATGTATTTTTCACTTTAATTTGAAATGCATGTTGAATGATGGACAAACCTGACTTGCTGATGCGATGGATTCAGTCGGCAAGGAAAGTCGAAGGTCTGGTCCACCACCTTCCAGGGCTGAGCACAAACTGAACTAAGATCAGGTTGGGTACTGACAGCTTCTCCCTGCTTTTCGCACTCCCTGAGGTATGATGTGGGACTGCGTTTTTTTAACCCAGCAAAGTACCCCCCTCCTCCTCTTAAACGTGCTTTTTGTAAGACATCTGTCGCAATCAGGAGCGGTCCTGCCCACTGGCCTCTCAGTTCCCCTCCCCTTCCTCTCCGTACTGCATATTTCTCTAAATGAAACGGGGTTTATTCCTTTAAGGAAGAATGCCCCTCTTACCCCCCACTCCATTAAACCGTCACTATAGCAACAATTTTCCTTTGACTTCCATGTAAAGCGAATTAATTTTAATTCGAACTTTCTTAACACTGCCGTGCGCCTCTTTTTAAGCGCCACAAAACGTGGTGTGTGGAAATTCCACGTTTTCTAATAATGTTCACTAGTAATCCCTACCCATTTCAAATAAAAAAAGGTAGCAAACTAGGACGAAAAATATGATTAGTGTCTCGCAGGAAAATATACTATGTAGGTAGAAAACTCTGATGGTACGATTGAGGTATTTAATCATGTTTCCGATAAATATCAATTTGTTCTTGTTTAACATTTTCGGTGTTGTTTTTATAATCGTATTTCCGGCAAATGCAAGTTGTATGACTTCTGTTACCAGTTACCAGCTCAGCTAGTACAAAATTGGTGAAATCCGCTCATTTTCTATTTCATTTGTTTGTTTATAGCGTTGTGTAAGAAAAGTAGCTTGGACTGTTTTATGGTGATTGCGTTGGAAGCAAATATGAGACTAAACTTACACCACCGCTCCTGATTGCGACACCTGTTCGGATGACAGTTTTCTGACTAGGTTACTTTTCGACAATAATTAATAAATATTTGTTATTTAGGCCAATAGAAGAATAATATGGGGTGAAAAAATAAGATCTGAAATTCAGCAACTTGCTGCGTTTCAGAGAATTTTAATCACCATGCTGATGGGTTGGTCTTCATGGTCTGCTGATCACATAGGAGTTAATGATTATTATTGACAAATGTTACTAAGGACACTCGTATATATTTGTTACGGTTTTATTAAAATTTGTGAACAAAATTTTGTCAATACTTGGACTACAGAATGGCTATGTTGTTCTGCTGTTTGGTCATATTGTGCATTAGACTGAATTTTTAGGCTTAAATTTTAGACAAAAGTAAAGGAATGTTAAATAATTAATTAGAACAAAGTGAAAGTTATAATAAATTTGACCTGAATGGAAACTTTTTAAAGAGTGGCCTCTAGCGTTAGTCTTGTGAAGATACACTTTCCTTACTTCGGCTTCGATTTCCCTAATAAAACATGAACTACTTTTTTTAAATCTAATTTTGTCATAAATATAGTACAGTAAAGCACGAGATGTGAATTCAGAAAAAAAAATACGAACGGGTGCTTATCAGACAGAAATGAGTATTTTCCCAGAAACGATGTCCTAATGTCATTATTGTGCACGAAGAAGACGCGCTATTTTGTTACATGTCCTCATTATGAAGAGCATCTGTACCATCTGTTTATCATTTAATGAATGAGTTAACCCTCTCTTATCTTATACTGCAACTAGTGACCCATCTATTGTGAATGAAATGGCACCAATCTGTGGCATTTCTTCAGCTGAACTTTGGAATCCTTTTCTTGTGGTGTAAAATGTAAATTATTCCCTATATACGGGCACTGATGTAGACAAGCAGGAGACTCGGGGCCCTGTTCGAATGCTCTCAGGTACCTGCGTGTACATTACTTCCTGGCTTGATGTTCCACAGTAAAGGCTGCGGATTCGTAACCTTTCAGCTGTGAACTGCTGTCTGGCAAACTGATGCTTGGCTTGGGGCGTCAAGAGAAAATTGTAATTGCCAGGGAGAAATGGAAAATAAAAGGGCACTGATAAAATGCAATATGTACAATAACCCAGGTCTTCATGCAATCTGTGGTCAAAGATCTGCATGGATTGGCGACTTGTGAAGGTCTTTGGGCACATACTCATCTACACGTGCAAAGCTGGTCATTTTCAGCTACTGCTGTGTTATTTCTGAAAGTCAATTGCGTGCCAAAAAAACCCCAGATGAGAGCAGCATTTAAATTCCACTGACACTTCTTAATCTTTTTAACTCTTTTTGTTGCAGTGTCTGTATTGGTCTTCTTTCTGCCCCTGGGACTCTGCTGGATGGTCAAGTTTCATGCACACTGGCGTGACTTGAAATTTTGTCCATGCTGTCACGTCCCGGGAGACATTGCTAGCAACCTTAAGCCGGTAACCATGGAAACCCACAGCCAAATGGCAGCGCCCTAAGGAACTGTAATGATGGGGTTTGTCTCAGCTGTCAGCTGCCCCATCAGCCAATCCTGCATTTAAAATGTGGGCCAGGTGTGAGAAAGTGTCTGCCTCCAATATTAGCATTAATTACAAACCACATTCAGGCTCTGCTTTTCTTTTTCACATGCTAATTGTCCCAGACTAAGATGAATTATCTTCTGCAACATGGGTTTCAAGTCCCATTTACCAGTCTTCCAGTTTTATAAATACACAAGAGGATTAAGTTATTTGTGAGCTGAGTAAATGATACATGTCAAAAGTTATTTTATGTGTTTCTGACCTTACAGATTATAGAAGTGATGGAGGCAAGACTGTCCATATCACAAGAGCTGGATCAACAACTAAGTAACTGTGTTTAAAATCAGGTTTAAGGGTACAATTGTAGTTAGTATTTTGATATTCTGAGTTATCTCCTCTGTGCTTACTGTGGTCAAAATTTTAATTAACATCATGGATGGGGATATGGCAGTCCATCACAGGACACATTGTCACACAATATGGGAAAATTAGAGACACCAGTTCACCTAACTGAATTTATTTAAGAAAAAACAAACATGGAGAATGTGCACACTCTATACATGCAGGATTTAAACCCTAGACTTAGTATGTAGGAAACAACAGTGCTAATTATTGTACTACTCAACTGGACTTTGTTGCATCCAAATTACTAGATTATGCTGTAATCAATGTGTGAAAATGAACTACACAGACAAAAACGGATATATTGTCTGTGGAAAGACGAAGGGGATGTTTTAACATATTACAGATTATTACAGCACTGCCCAAAGCGTCAATATCTGCCTTATCTTCAATTTCTGAGGCAAAACTCAGTTATACCACCAGATGGTGATATAGTGTCATACTCAGATACATTGTCTATCCATCCATTCATCAGGTCTACTGGCAGATACATTAATACGTCTAGAAATTATTAAAATTGTCCTTGATAATAATCTAGCAATCACTAGATGCCTGGCTATTGTTACAGGTATTTGCATAGCTGCTATCTTTAATATAAGTGGCATTTACTCACTTAACAGATGTTTTCACCCAAAGCGGCATACAATTGAGACAGCAGGATCTGCCAGTTCCTGGAGAAACTGGGGCTTAAGCACCTTGCTCAAGGCTCCATGGTAGAATCACTCTGCCAACTATAGGATTGAAATCAGCGACCTTCCCATCACAGGAACATATATAGAAAGCATCTGTGACACTACGTAGCCATCTCAGCGTTTGGAAATATATGCCATAAACATTTATTTAGCTGTAAAAGGGCAGCCACCTTAAAACTCCTCAGTCTGTGCACATTTATCTCTGTGGCAATGTGTTGTACCATAAGGGAGGTGAGGACGTGAAGGAGTGGATAAACAGAGCTGGGTGTGGGAAAGGGGGTGTCCCAGACTTTTTTTTTGTGGGTTAACCTGTAAGAGCAAAGATATATGAAGCATGATAGGTGAAAGGTGCAGGCAGCACTAGGTTTCTCTCTCAGGGGGTGCAAGGTGAGAGAGCCCAACCAGTCATTCACCCAGATCAATGCTGTGCAGAGACTTTTCTCGCTTGCCAGGAGGGGGGTGACCCATTGGAGATTTTACACCCCCATACCAGTCTAATTATATGGCAAATTTTTTGGACCCATTTCACTTTTAGTCCTAACTTTACCCCCAACTTTTATGGTCAAATAGCATTTTCATCTGATGATCAAGGGGTACAGTTCCTCTGTAAAATTGCCAATGTTGATAGGACAGAGTTGTTTAAATAAATCCTGACTCACTGGGGGCACTGCAAGATAGCAGTCTTTATATTGCTTATTTTGGGTCATGGAAAGATTTTAAATCTGAGAGTTTAAACAGGGAGTATTAATCTAATGTACAAAGAGGACGGTTGATGTCAGATTCATAGGTTTTGCTTTGGGATCAATTATGTTAGGAAACAAGATTTTAATTGGAAAGAATTCATGCCCTTGAAGACAAGTAACTGCTAAACTAAATCAAAGAAATCAAATAACTAAGTATCTATTAAAATCAGGGGTGCCACTAAAGATTTTAGGCACCATGAAAGTATATTATATTGGGCCCCTAACCCGGATCAGTCGGAATGTGCTCCAAATACCTTAGGGCTACAGTCACTCAGGACCCCTTGGAATTGTCCTAACTTATCCCCCGCTTTCCGATGCCCCTGATTAAAATAAGGTTCTGTTAAAAAAACAGCCTTGAGTGTGACACAAACGTCTCTATAATGGTAAGTCTTATATGCTAACACGCAATTTCTAAATATAACTATAATATGGTTACTGTCAAGATATAGCTGTGCTGACGTGCACTTTACGGTGAAGTTATTGGCGGCATTTAAGTGGATATTGTTATTATTATTGTGATAAGTACGCTGCTGTATATGAATATGTACAGATTTGGAATTTTGAAAAGTCTCTGACAGTGAACCACTCCTATTTGAGCCCCACCCTTGCGAATATGAGATCAGAGTTCAATTCCGGATTTGACCACCAGATGTCCTCGGTGTTGTTATATCAGGGTGAGGTCCATGTGGCTTCCTCAATTTTTTTTTCCTACAATGTTTAGCCGCCTCATCTTGGGCGGTTGCGTTGGCTTCTTGGGATGATATCATCCTAAGGCCAACGAATCGAGGTGTCTATCGCAATGCCTGACCAGAATATAACAACACGGTTTAATTTTAAAAAGCAGCAAAGCAATTCGACAAATTCGGCGGCGTCAAATGAATCGCATGTGTTGCACGTTTATATTGCGGGATGATTTTATTTAACGACTGACCCAAATTCCTCTGGGGCCCCAAGGCACCTTGGTGACACCTCTTTTTGTGGTTGCAGAAACAAAATGGCTCCTGTACTGGAGAAGAAGCTCCTGAGCGCGCCCGGGGCTGGTGACACCCTGGAAAATAATGAAGAAGAAGAAGGACAGAACCTATGGCAAGTCAGAATAATTAGCTGAGGCGCTGCATATTTCTTTTATCGTGAACAATGTAACTGTTTCACTTTTGTCACTCTTGGCTACATGGCATTTCCTCTCAAGTGCCGGCTTGGGAGGGTCTGCCAAACGGTAGCCAACAAACAAAGGTTGTGTTGCTACAAACTATTTGGCAGACTGTTTAAAAATGGTATTACTATGTACAGCCCATTCCTTTTAAAATAAATCTGTGGTGGGAGCTTGTGAACTGTATGCAGACCCTGAAGTGTCACGGTCCCGGTGTGTTTTTGTTGTGCGTTTGATGGCTGGATTGAATTAATCTCTTTAACGGTAGCTGTCTGGAAAGGATGCTGCCAACAGTGCAGTGGTCCCGGAGTCCCATTTAGAGCAGTACAAAAACTCAGATCGTTACTTCCACAAGCGTTCCCGTCTTATTAGCCAGCACGTGGCTATAAAATACAAAAACTTATGTTATTGATTCCCCCACCCCCCAATATCTTATAATCACAGTACTAATAATCCGATGCATTGATTTAGCGTTACTGTGTGATAGCCGTCTATGTCAGATTGCTTGTCAGAGCCGTGACTTGCACGTTGTTATGACGTGGAAGCCGTGGATCCACATTGTCTGTGTCTGTCTTTCATTTGTAAGATGAGCAGGCAGGATATCAAATCGTGTACGGTGAGTGTATAGCTGTCTTAACGATTACATATATATATATCAAACAATTAAAAATATGTCACTGCCACAGTGTTTTTATGCAGCCGCATATTAATACAGAACTGTCCACCCATCTTCTAACCGCTTAGACTGGTCAGAATTGCAGGAAGTACAACACTGGTGAATGCCGTGCGCATTATGCTGACTGTCATGATGAGTTAATATAGGGAACTGATCGCATTTCCCTTAGGTCCTCTATTCTCAGCGAAGTTTCCACCAGGTCCAGTTCCAAGTTGCCATCTGGGAAAAACATACTGGTTTTCGGTGAGTGTAACTCCCGTATTCTTCACTGCCCGTTTATGCATTATGTCGTTTTGTCTGATGCTGAAAACATAACCGTATTAGTGTGGTACAGTGTCTTTCTGTGTTTACGCATGTATGTTTTAATGAAGGCTCTGCGCTAACAGGGTTTCATTTTAAATTCTTAAATCTGTGACAGGCCCTCTGTGTGTTGACTGAGGTCTGTTCTTCACAAATGTTCCAAAAATAGGAATAAATATCCTTTTAGTGCTTGAAACCAGACCTCTGATCTGTCTGAAGACAAGCCCGCTTACAATGAAGAGACCTCGGGACAGGATTTGAAGAGACTTTTGAAAATAATGTGCAGCGTGTTAGAATCTCGATCCGTTTTCGCCTGTTTATTAACAATGTAGAATGACTCCCACATGACGTACAGTAAACAAGGGTGAGCATCAGTCACCGGCCAAATATAGCAAATGCTCTCTTTCATAAAACATGCACTGTGCCGTGCAGCTGGTTACTTTTGGTTGCTGTGCATTTCCATTTTCCTGCTAGTTCTACCCGAAGGTGGTATTTTATTTGAAGTTGCCTTAATATAAAAACGTGCGGATGTTTTGCGCCCAGGCAATTCTCAGGTGGAATTCTGCACAACTGCATCAATGAGTATCTCCATTACATATAATTCCCAGAGAGAATAACGTGCCGTGACATGATTCTTACTGGCATGTGTATCTTTCAATTCCCTAGGGGAAGATGGCTCGGGCAAAACGACGATCATGGCGAAGCTGCAAGGGATTGAACATATTAAAAAAGGGAGGGGGCTTGAGTATTTGTACCTGAGTGTCCACGATGAAGACAGAGACGGTAAGTATCTGAATTCTTCATAAAGAATAACTCTTTCGCTTTGAAGCCCATGAAGATGGTGCTTGCACTGCCTGAGGGGCTGAGCATTGTTTGAGCATCATAATCTCCACCCCTCTGAAGAAGTAACGTTAACCTGGACAATAAATGCAGATGCTGATCTGTCTCTGTTATGTTTCTCCTCTGCAGATCTAACACGCTGTAATGTGTGGATCTTGGATGGGGACCTCTACCACAAAGGTCTGCTAAAGTTTGCTGTATCAGCAGACTCGTTAAAGGACACACTGGCCGTGCTGGTGGCCGACATGTCCCGGCCATGGACTGTCATGGAGTCCTTACGCAAGTGGGCCAGCGTCCTGCGCGACCACATCGACAAGCTCAGGGTCCCACCAGAGGAGATGAGAGAGATGGAACAGAAACGTGAGTCCTGCCCTCGCTGTCTTTGAACTCTGCGAATGTAACATGTAGTCTGTCACATTAGGCCACACCCTTTGACAACGCCCTGTCTGTGTGCGCTGTCCTAGCCTGTCACAGCTTGGCAGCTCTCACCAGAAATGTAAAACTTGTTTCAGCCCTGCCCTAATTTAGCACTTGCACTGCATCTGAACTTATAGAAAAATTAGTTGACTGCTGAGTATACAGCTTACTTTGGGATTGCTGCACTTAGAACTGCCCTCTTGTTTTGGTTTGGTGTAAATGACATGCTTGCCACATCGTAGGACTAAGGACAGCTCCCGCATCCTGCCTGTGGGTTGCTTAGCCATCCAAGCATCCATAAATCGTCTCAGGTCTATGTTGATTGTTAGTGCAGGAAAAAAAATGCATCTTTGATGCCTTTCATGATCAGCGAAATCCTGTAGTCCAGGGGTGTCAAACTCCAGTCCTGGGGGGCCGGAGCCCTGCACAGTTTTTGGTTCAACCTTGTTTAACACACCTGATTCAACTTCTTGTGCTAATTACAGCACAGCTCTTGAGCTGAATCATTTGTGGTGGAACAGGGAAAGAACTAAGCTCCACAGGGCTCTGCCCCCCCCAGGACTGGAGTTTGACACCCCTTCTGTAGTCTGTCCGAAATGACCTTTTTTCAGCTGAATATGCATGCGCTCGAAGTAGCCCCCTAGTGCTAATTTTGTGGAAATAATATAAAATTATTGTTCAAAGTGCTTCTTTGCAGCACTTATTCTGTTGATTTGTTGAAATTGCCTTTGTCTCAAGTGGTTTGAAAGTGCAACTATATACCTTTTGGTTTGAGAAGATTCATTGGGATTTTGTGTGATATTTGATTGACTCTGCCTGTTAATCAAATAATGATTAATTCGATAAGGAGGATACGCGTGAATAAATGAATGCTTAGCGTTGGTTATACAATAAAATAGTCATTCTGTTCCTAATTTTAACATTCAACCATAAGTTTCTCTGAGGTTGAGGTATGTGAGGAAGTCTGTCGTATGAGCTGCATTCCATCTGAGCTGGGAAGTTGGAATTTCCGAGTTCGTAGTCAGAAATTTCAACTGGAATGCCCCCTGAAGCCGGAGTTCCGACTGGGGAAGTCGGAAGAACCTCTGCAACTTTGATCTCAGAATTCAAGATGGCCGAGCCCTAGATTAATAGAAGTGAAAGCTGTAGTTATGTACTGTTTATTAACACTTATGCCTTATTCGTGTCTCATTAAATTGGCCATAAGCACAGTGCTGTCCAACCGCTATCTGCGCACATGTTGCTACAGTGTTTGCATGCGCAAAACATCACATAAGGCATTATCAGCTGGTATTACTAACAATGGCTTTGTAATTTGTACTGGAAAGTCGTTAACTTGGGTGTGATGTCATTCTCAGCTCCAGCTTCTGACCACTTAGGTCAATGGTATGCAGCATGAGTGCTGTTTCTACTGAGAGTTGAGGTTCCCTGTGAGGCACTAAGGGCATGCTCACCCTGGCAGATCTGTACTGTGCCTGAGTACGTTTGACCCCCAAAGTCCAGTTCATTTGACTAGTATGATTGCCCTGTATTGTGATTGGGCGCGCTGCACTTAACCGTACCCTGGCCCACTTGGAGCGAGAGGTCAGAGCACGATTAGTCAGGCTCGGGCACGGTACGGATGTAGTGTGATTGCTCCGTGCTGTGCTCGTGCGTGATACGCTTAATCGTGCACTGGCCCTCCTTGGAGACTCACACGTGGTAAGGATGTAGTGTGATTGCTCTGTGCCGTGCCGGGGTGTGATACAGAACTGTGTTGTGGAAAAAATGATGTGCAAGGAGAGTATTGGTGGCTGGGTGGAGAGGGGGATCGGTATGGATACGATTCATTGTAGATGTGAGAGGGCACTGTGCTAATGAATGAAAAGAACAAAAAAAACACGTGAGCATGCAAAACAGTAAAATGTATTTATTCTGTGGTCAAACTCATCACCTTGACTCTCCACTGTAAAAAGAAAAACAGTGAACTGATAAGTGCCCATAAAGGTAACCGCAGTTTCTTAAGCCTTCTTCCATTCATCTGCTCAATAAACCATAAAAACCTTCCCAGTCCGTGAATTATGCTTGATTATCTAATTGCTTAGAACAGTGTAGCACAGTAACCTGTAGGTATGGATGCTAGTCAACGTAGCCTGTTTGCTATAAGATTTTGCTGTATCATAAGAACATAAATCAGTGACTTGAAGGGAGACCATATATAACTAGCTAGCGTTTTAGCCAAGTGTGAGTACAAGCCAGCCTGAAATCGAGGTGATTATTAACCTGCGGATAATGTGCGGATTGGCAAGGCAGAGCCTATAAGGAAGGGGTCACAACGGTGAGATATCGTGATGCTTTACTCCAAGCGGTCCTGCACCAGCAAGGGTAAATGTAGATGATAATCTCTCACTTGCTAGTGATGCAGATGTCACTGCATCTGCTGTGTTGTAAACAGAATTATGCATGACAGCTTATGGCTCAGCACCTCTAGGTGGTTTTTATTTGAAGGACGCAAAAAGCAAGGGAGAGGAAGGCGTTTGCGGAAAGCGGAGAAAGGCCGTACTGCGGGAGCGTCTGTCAGAAGCCGGACGCCAAACGCTCTTTTGCTGGCCCAGATATCCTCACTCGTACCGAATTTACACAGTGAAGTGCTTGTAAAGCAGTACTGGGATGATGATGAGAGGGCCTCCCATGTGTGTTTAGCATTACAGGAAGGCAAAGGTAAACATCACATGATGGTCCTGTTGTATGTCTGGCCTGCCCAGGATGCAAGCCAGTGACAGGCTATGGCTGAACTCTTGACCTTCGTATACGTTACAATCACACCTCACGTAGAGGCTACCTTGGTTAGCGACCATTCACAAATACGTCAGTAATAATAATACAAAAACTATAACTAAAAAAACTATTAAACTATAATGTATCAAATTTTCCGACTATTGAATGAATTTAGAACCAAATTTCGTATGTTCCCCGGAATGTTGTAAGCACAGTCGCAGACACGCCTCAGCTACCGTGATTTTCACTTAGTGACCATTTTGCTTCATGATCTGATCATTGGAATGGAATCTGTGGCTATATGAGGAGTAGCTGTATTCAAAATGTGTAACTTTGTTCAAGTTTAAGGAATGAAAAGCTTGTATTGGTGCGCTTGAGCTGCCTGGGAAATGAACTGATGGTGATGATGACGACAATGGCTGTGATAGACGCTCATGCCTGGCAGTCTAACAAAGATTTGTGTAGCTTCCATTTGCAGTTCAGGTGGTCTAATTAGCATTAGTGTGACTCATCAGATCAGATTTCACTTCCACGTCAGCTTTGTGTGATTAGGGTGTGGCCATGATGTAGGATCACCCAACTCCAGTATATAGGGAGTGGATCCAAAGCCCTTGAGGTGACCTCAGATGGAGTTCCTGCAGGTCAATATGGGTTGGCTATCTGCCGATAATGTTTTTGTCTGAAGCTTGATTCGGGCGGCGCAGTGAGAGACACTGGGCCCCGCCTTGCATCTGGGTCTGAGAACGAGATTGCCCACAGATGGGTGTAACTAGGCCATTTCCCACCTCCTAAGACCTGGTGTGACGCCAGGTCAGGTGTGTGCACAAATCCCTGCCAACCTCCATCTTTCGGCTCTCCTATTTCCTGAGATCTGGACAGCCGGGCCTTTGCACGCCTGTGATTGGACGCCACCTTTTACCACATGTATGCTGTCGAACCTGCAGCTGCTTGTTTCTCTGGGTTATCTGTGCCTCACCAGAGGCTCCAGCGCACCGGGTTCATGGGTGTAGTTGGGAGGAGTGTCACCTGCCATTCACCGTCCCAATTTCCCTGATTTGCTTCAAGTTTAAATTTGTTTGGCTGCTGGTTTCACAATAAGGATTTACAGCCCCATGAAATATGAGACAAACACATACCTCAGTCTGCTATTTATATATCAATGTCACAAGGAGAGCATCCTTAATAAATACCCTCCGTTGTACTAATATGAATATTATGAGTGTTGTTGCGGAATTTTCTGTGTTATAGGTGTTAGGCTGCCCCCTGCTGGTAGAAGTGTTAATGCCTCCTTTCCCCACTTCCTGCACTGCAGTCATGAAGGACTTCCAAGAGTACATGGAGCCAGAGGAGGCGGTCCAGGGCTCTCCCCAGAGACGGGGCCCCGCGTCTGGGCCCGAGGACGAGGGTGTGCTTCTGCCGCTGGGGGAGAACGTGTTGACGCACAACCTGGGGGTTCCGGTCCTGGTGCTCCTCACGAAGGTGAGTGACCCGTGGGCCGGGAGGCAGGGCAAGGTAGGGAGGTGGTCAGAGGAGAGCATGAGAGGGCAATGCGTGAGGAGCAGGGCTGCAGAGACCAAGCGGCGAGTAGATGTCAACGTCAAAGTGTCATTTATTGTCCAATAATAGAGTGTAAATACCAAGACATATAAATATAAATAATATAGACAGTTAGCCACCTGATTGGTGGGGAAAGATTGGGGAAGTTTGCTGTGAAGCAGACTATGATAGATAACAGAATTATAACATGCAATCCCACAGAGTTATCTATCACATGCAGAGTTGTAAGTGCAGATCTATCCGTCCCTTTAACAGACCTGATTTTGAGCTGGGAGGGGCCTGAGTATTTGGCAGTCAAACAGTCTGAGGGCCTCGCAGTTCTGGCTTCGAGGTTGCAGAACCTCCTACTACATGGCACCTAGACTGACACCTGAGTCTGTGTATGGTAGAGCGGTCCTGTGGAAGCTGCTTTGGGTGGGGGCTGGTGGAGGAGAAGTCCAGGGCTGAGAGTCTTCTGATCAGCTGCAGTCCTTGGCTCTGGCCCCCAGCAGTGTGGACTGTCAATGCAGCCCTTTATTGTGTGTTGCTGCGTGTGTCCTGATTTGCGGAGAACCACCCCGCCTCCCCCAGATGTCCCAGGATTCCATCCACTCTGTGCCCCCTGCCTCTCCCTCTCCCTGCATGATGCTGTGACCCTCAATGCGTCCTTCACTGCCTCGAGCTTTCGATGGGACACAAGTAGCCTTTATTTCCCGGGCCTGTTGGTCAGCTGCTAGGCTGTGATCTCCTTTTTGTTGCCTTTCGTATTGGCAGATTAAAAATATTTTTATTTCTGAAACCCTCAGAATGAGACAATTAGAGATAGAGGATGACATTTGATGAATTAACATGGGTGTGTAATCAAACGGACACAATGGATGAAATTGTACAGATTTAATTTGTGGGACGGCAACACATCTTGTACCTATAATTTAGCCCATCTACTTGAAGTGTTGCTTTTCATGCATGGGTTTTGTGTGTTCAATGAAGCTGTGAGATTTGCCATTCCTTCGTGTGGTCAGAAGTGCTTTTGTTGAGTCATGCATGGACTGATCGTTGACCAAGGTCTCCCTCTAGTGGTGACCATGAGGAAGTCTTGTTCTGTGGGACGGGGATACAGAGGCTGACGGCTCGAGCGGGCTAGCCTTTAGCGATGGGCCAGTGAGACCCTGCTGACTTTCTGGGCCGTGACAGCCGTCCCCCTCTTTCTGCAGTGTGATGCCATCAGCGTCCTGGAGAAGGAGCATGACTTCCAGGAGGAACACTTTGACTTCATGCAGTCCCACATCCGACGGTTCTGCCTGCAGTGTATCCCTTTTTCTCACCTTTCCAGACCGTTGTCCGCCGTGTGCCTGCTGCCGTGAGACGAGACGCTGAGTTTCTTTTCCTTAAACGCATCTCACAGATGGCGCCGCTCTGATTTACACTTCAGTAAAAGAGGAGAAGAATCTGGATCTCCTGTATAAATACATCGTGCACAAACTGTATGACTTCCAGCTGACCACGCCAGCGCTCGTAGTCGAGAAGGACTCTGTCTTCATGTGAGCGGGAACTGTTATTCTGAATGTACAGAATGTCCAATACTGTGTTTGTCTGCTGCAGCAAAGTGGTCATTTTTTGAAATAAGAATTGAAATGGATTTAACTCTCCCCGTAGTCCGTCGGGGTGGGACAACGAGAAGAAGATCGCCATCCTGCACGAGAACTTCACCACGGTAAAAGTGGAGGATCCCTTCGAGGACTTCATCACGAAGCCGCCGGTGCGGAAGGTGGGTTGAGGGACGCGTGGGCACGAGGGGGGGTTTATGGGCATGTCCGTGCCCACTCTTCAGTCCCTGTGGCTCTCTCTCCCTCCCTGTAAATGCAGCTGGTGCATGACAAGGAGGTGAACGCAGAGGATGAACAAGTGTTCCTCATGAAGCAGCAGGTGAGGGCTATCTGTGCCTCAGTCTATGCTTCTAAATCTGTGTGTGTGTGTGTGTCTCTGTCTCTCTCCCACTTAACCTCTGTCTGTCTCTCTCATTTAGGCTCTGTCTGTCTGTTTGTCTGTCTCTCCCACTTAGCCTCTGTCTGTCTCTCACTTAGGCTCTGTCTCTGTTTGTCTGTCTGTCTGTCTCTCACTTAGGCTCTGTCTGTCTCTCGCTTAGGCTCTGTCTGTCTGTCTCTCTCACTTAAGCTCTGTCTGTCTCTCTCACTTAAGCTCTGTCTGTCTGTCTCTCTCACTTAGACTCTCTCTCTCTGACTTTTCTCTCTAAGCAGACATGACAGTGGTCCACAGTGTATCTCTGTATGACGCATGAAGCATGTGGATTACATGCCAACAATAACACACAAGCTTGTAGTTTAATTCCCTATCTTGGGGAGAATGTCACAGTCCTGGCTTGTTTGAAGGCTGACTGCAGGCACTGGGCTGTTCAGCCTTATTAGACCATCACAGTGTTCCATGTCTGCTGCCAGGAAGGCGGCAATACAGGCTTAATTAGTGAACAATCCCCATTTCCTACATACATTTTTTTGTAATAATTTTGTACAAAGCAGTACATCCTCCCTGTAGGGAAAGCTGGAAATCTGGACCACATGTTTTCCATTGATTTGAGTTTTTAATGAGATGTGGAATTTCTATTTCCTGTTTTATTTGTAATCTTGTATGAATTTGAACTAAGCTCACCAAACCTGGGGACTGTGATCTGTGTGTCAGGAAGTGACATCAGAAAGGTTTCATCTGTGTAACTTTTGCTTCAGTTAAACTGCTGTTACTGGCCATGCCACGTAAGATATCATAGTATCATAACGTACTGCTGATAGATGTCTGCTGTTTTCCAATAGTTTTTTCTTCCTCCTTTTCAGTCATTGTTAGCGAAGCAGCCTGCTACACCAACAAGAGCAACTGTAAGTCTGACGTCTCTCAGAATGGAACACTGCACTTTCATAGCCCTTTCATTGCCAAAATACTTGTCAGATAGTGACGTTGATAAATGGTTTTTCATTCAGCTCTTCACAAGGCTGGTGAAATTAAAAGCAAATGGTTTTGTCTCAGTAGTTTTGAATCATGGGATGGCCAGAGGTCTTTGTATGCTGGGAATCTTTGCGCTTTTAATAATAATCTTAGCCAGCTCTGGGATGTTTCTGAGGTCATGCGGTGCGATGGTTTGTGCCGTTCCTTCTCGCTGCCTTCCAGGAATCCCCTGCGAGAACTGCGTCCGGTTCCCCGCGACCCGCGGGTCGTGCTGGACCCACCAATGTCGCCAGTGTGTCGCCCATGACTGCGGTCAAGAAACCAGATCCCAATATGAAAGGTAGGTCTGCTGCTGGTTGACCTGAATGAATATACTGGACATATTACCCTTTTTTTGCGACTGCACCAAACCACTGTGGGAAACAGTGCCACCTAGTGGACGTAATTGGTATAACTCACAAAGCAAAGGTTTCAGCCAAGTGTCGTCTGTAAAATCAACCGAGTGCTTGAGTTTCAGGCAAGAGTCCAGCTCCTCCACTGTAGTCATTTTCCCGATGTTTGCTTTTTAGGGGCTGCGGCCAACGAGGGCGTCCTGGCTAATTTCTTCAATAGCCTGCTGAGCAAAAAGACCGGCTCCCCGGGGAGTGCCGGAGCTGGGGCCGGAGCGGGAGCAGCCGTACCCGGCTCAGCCAAAAAAGCAGGTATGGGCTCCCCCAGGACGCGCGCGGCCATTTGGAGGTTCATCCTGAGCTGCCGCAGAGAGTGAGAGACGGCTGAGCAGGCGGCAGGTCCAGTGTCTGACGCCAGCAGGAAATTTATGGAAAAACTATCTGCGCAGACCAGCTGGTAAAATATTTAGCTCCCTTCCTCTGCCGTCAGCAACTCTGCGGGTCGAAGGGTGAGCATTCAGTCTCAACGTTCCTCCTCCCATTCAAGGGGAACAGCTGAAATGCTAGTATGACCCTTAATGTCCCGTCGAAGTAGTTATAGTATGTAAAATGGTGCCCTATTGGACGCCTGGGCCTGCATGCATGTTTCTGAAATATTTCCCCACTGATCCATGCAGGTGTGCAGCGTCCTGCATGCTAGAATTCCCCCTGCAGATAACTGGCATGCTTCTAATCTACAGCGTACCCTCTAAAAGCTACATGAAAGTATTGTTTTGTTTTCTCTCGTCCGTTTTGTTTTTCTTCAAGGGCAGAAGCCAATTTTGACTGACGTTCAGGCTGAGTTGGACAGAATGACTCGCAAACCAGACTCCACGGCGACGGCGAACAACTCTCCACCGAAAGAGAACGAGGCATGAGCACACTCACCTGCAGCACCGTCTGTCGGTTTAAAAAGAGAAAAAAAATGCACGCAAGACGAAAAAAACAAAACAAACAAAAAATATCAACCAAATTCCCCATGTGTATCAGTGTACGGTTTGCAGACCACACTTTCTGTCTGATAGCAAGGGGATAAGTGAGGATGAAGTTATAGGGGGAAAATGAAGGCATTTTTTTTTAAACGTGAGGCACGCCAGATTACATTAAAGCTGCACATTTTCAGGCAGGTAGCCAAATCTCTCGCGTCTCAGAAGTCAGGTTTAGCTTGGGAAACATTTCTGCTCTTCCTCACTGTCATCTGGAGCAGAGATGAGCTGGGGATTTATTTTCCCTCAGCAGGTCTTATGAAAGAGAGAATTTAGATAAAGAGCAAACAAAAAAAAAAGAGCTAATGTTCAGAAACGCAACTGAACTACTTACAAAAGTATGTAGTATGACAAGTAGACTTTATTATTTATATATAAAGCCATCTTTATTTTCTTTCTCATTTTCTTTCTCACTAAACCAGTTTAATGAAAAATGTTTAGTTGCATTAACGTTTAACTTAATTTCCGTCACGACACTAATTTGACGATACTTGGCCTGGTAGCTTATAAGGATATACTGTGCTTAATGCAAATAGCAGATCACAGTACTTAAGGCACATCTGTAAGGAAGCTGTAAATACAACCAAACTATTCTGTGTGAGCTTTGAGCCTTCTGTATAAAGCGCAGTCTTTTTGGGAAGAAATAACGATTTTCAGAGAGAAGCTAAAGACCCATTTCCGGTTCTGGAAGTACAGGTTGCATTGAAGGCCTTTTTTGTTTGGCTCAACGTGTTAAAGTGTGTGTTATGGGTCTTACCTACTACTAACTGCAAGTGCCTGGCACAGTATACTGTCACAATCTGGTTAGGAGTCCTTAAAGAAACACCTGTAGTTTTTTTAACGTCAAACTGTGGTTTTTGCATACTCTATTCCTAACGGGGATTTCCGGAAGCCTACGGCCTAGACGCCATGCATGAAAACAGGTGGTACCCCACCTTCTCGATTAACGCAGAAGAGCTTTGTTAAGGCCGTTGGTGGCTGGCTCGCTCCTGCGAGCGTTTGGTGGGATCTGCTCGGGGAAGATGTACTCATCTGCTCAGTGTAAATGGTGGCCAAATTCTGAAGGGGGGGGGGGGGGGGTTGGTTATGTAGTTCCAGGTTTTAAGTTCATACTGCTTATTTACAGTTCAATTCCTGTTATTGTAACTTTTTTGTTATTTATTGTTTTTTTTGTTTGTTTTTTTGTTGTTTTTTTTACTTTTTTACGTTTTCTACAAAAACGTTTGGCATACAGTATGAATGCAGTATGACGTCTCCCCTTTCTGTCACACCGTCACTGCAAAGGTCTGGCCTTGTGCGTGCAGGTGACAGACGATGGAGAGACTTCTGCTTCAGTGATCAGCACCTTTATTTTGCTGTTGCTTTTCTGTTTTCTTTCCCCTGACATTTTTCTGACTTCTTGTTGTTGGCCTTTACTGTGTCTAGGAGCAGATGGATTTTTTTCCCCGTGTCTCTTAATGTCCTTGATGGCCACTATTGTATCAGAATTTCACACTATGAGGTGTCAAATTTTTAGGAAGTATTCAGAACCTGCTGAGTTGAATTTTGATTTTGTACAGATTTGTTTACCGGAATTTTTTGTATAGACTTGCAAATCGGTTGTTGAGAGATCAATTTAACACTTTATTTTATTTTATTTTTTATTTTCCTTCCTTTCTCTCCAGACATTCTATGTGCCTGGTTGTCAAAACTGTTCAAACACTGATGCAGCAGCTAAATGCTTTTTTTTTTTAAAAAAAAGGATTTCTTAAAGAACAACATGAAAAAGGAAAATGTGGAGAATTAGGACCTGGAACCAAAGAATCGGAGCGTTTTGATCTCTGTCCATTGACCCATTTAACAGTCTGTTCAGGTGTTAAATACTCCCTGATGTACGGTGCCCATCATTCCAAAAAGCAACAGCAGTTACTGAAAAAGTATAATTAAGCTGCTTTTTTTTTTTTTTTTTTTAGGGAAACTGCATACGCAGAACTTCTGCATAATCTAAACGTGCATGTTTTTTTTTTGTTTTTTTTTTGGTCTGGTTCAAATTTACAGATAGTTATACTTACCACTGATATATAACCTAGAATGTCATTAATTGGTTTTGATAAACTCGCAGCTATTTATTGGCACAGGGAAGTTTTGGAAAGCTAGGCCTATTTACATGTATACATTTTGATATAATAAATTGACATTTCGATTGTAACTTAGTCACCAGGCAGATTTCTGTGAAAGTAATTAGAGATTAAATTATGCTTCTGAGGCCATTGGAAGTTTTAGGAATCTTGAAAAATACTGGAAATTCTTATTTCAATTATGATCCCGTTTCATTTGAAACTGGTTAATGCTCCTGGCACTTTTTTTGGCCTGTGTCAGGTGATTGTGAATTTTACTCTCATTGGAGGAGCCACAAAATTCTGCACCTGGCTGCTAACTGTCAGGAAGCGGGTGAGAGTGACCCCGCACTCAGAAGGCGTGTCAGACTGCGCAGTGCACCCCGGAGGCTGCCCGCTCCCCACCGCAGCACAATCCAAGCCCCGCCTTGGTGCAAAAAAGGTTCAGATATTGCCGCCAGCGTGGTTTCGTCATCTAGGTAACCTGTTAGAATCGGGTCAGGCTGCAAAAGTTAAAACTGCTGCTTAAATTAGTGTGCACTTAATCTTTTTTTTTTTTTTTAAATTTGTACAAAACTGGTATAAGGAACAGTTAAAGTGTTTACCATGTTGACTGGCTGCTCTGTGCATCATAAGCCTGAAGATATGCATTTAGTCTTAGGAGGCAAACACTTCAAAGTTCTGATCTTTTATGAAGGATCTTAAGGTCTTTTTGTCCACAGTTAGGACTGCATATCTGTCCTAGACATGCGTATAAACTCCTCTGATGAGGCTTCATTCTTATGCAGCCATGTGGAGTTCTGCTCTTAGCGCTGGCAAAGGTAGGGAAATATCTCTCAGTCCTGGCTTCAATAAAGAAGAATCCAGACCCCAGTCGTCTCGTTGTCTTCATTTGAAATCCGGGTGGTTCATTACGGTACCATTAGAAAGTACAAATTGAGTCGGGTGGGGCTAGCCAGTGGGGAGCAGAGGAAGCGTTTTGATTGGCTGCTGACAGGTTGTGGGATGCTCCTTGGCCAAGCTATCGCCACATTCATGTCATGTTTTTGGTTATTTCAAATTGAGAAAAACATCTGCTACTCGCATAATGTTAAGTGTTACCTAATAATTGTCATATTTTGTCAAAGACCATTGTTGCAAGTAATATTTTAAGATTAATAATTAATTTGTCTAAGTAGGTGAGAGTAATTAACTAATTAAACTAAAAACTCATAGGTTGCTATTAACTTATTTCATCAATCTTTTTTTGAATCCATCCTCTTAATCTATTATGCTTGATTTGTTTGTGATTGAGTATGAATCCAAATCTTTGTTTTAGATCCAGATGGAAATTTGAAGGATTAACCGTTTAATATAAAGCACTTGTTGCTGGCCCTACCCCAAGAAGTGTAAGTGCCTTCTGGATGGAGTACACCGCTACAGGGCAAGTTCGGTACCAACAGAAAAGCAAAGCAAGTAGCCCTTCTTTCGCTAAGGAAATATGTGAAAAGCGCCGTCAAGTTTAAATCTGCTGCAATTACCTTAACCTTTAGTGTGTACCGATATTAATACTTAAAGCAGTATTTCACAAATTTATATCAAGCACTTGAATTAAGTTTTGTATAGCAATACATTTTTGGGCAATTAATTCTGCACGTTAGCACCAGTTCACTGGAACCCTGTATTATTAAATGTCATGCGATCATCTTGGTATACAGAAAATATATATAGTAACATACGAAAATGGTCCCGGATTTATTTCGCCTGTTATTTATTTATTGATTGTATTCAGTGCGAGTGTCTGCGCCAGTGAATTAAACGGAGGTGCGCAGAGGGGGAGGTGCGCAGGGGGGGGGGGCACCTGAGTGACAAAGCGTCAGCAGTGCACACCTGTGTATCACGTCACTTCTATGCCGAGCAGCAGGCGCGTCTCCACTGTCCGCTCCCGGGGTCGCGGTGAAGGGTTGCTGGACCTGCAGAGTTTCCTCTCGGCAGCCGAGGACCAGGGATTCTACCGCATCCGTCTCAACAAAGACCCGGGACTCCAGACCCAGGACTGGCTGGGTTCCTCTGAGCAGAACGCCATCCCTCTGCTTCCCTGGCTGTTGGATAACACTTTTTATTCGGTTTTTTTTTTTGCTCCCGTATTTGTACGTAATTTTGCAGGGCGGAGACGAACGATTTTAACAAAATCATAGCCATTTATATTCTAGGCTTGAACGGCAGAAGTGAACGGCCAAGCTGAAAGGCGAAATGCCGTATACACGGAGGATTTAAGAAACTTTTTATATACCGAAAGGAAAAGTAATGGATCTCATCCGGCATGATATTTGGTGAGAAAGGGCTGTTGCGTAGACTCATCAACTGCAAGCCAGAAGTAATGCTCCACTTTTTAAAACCCCACGTGCATTGAGTTGTTTTTGTAAGAAGTGCAAAAAAAAATTATGCTGAAAGACATTTACAGCACAGCACCGACGTGGATCCTAATCTGATCTGCTTGGCTGCATTGTTTCGGGTCTGTTTGCCGTAACTTGAACGCTGATTGAAAATATAATATACATATAGGATCCGGACTGTCTCGATCAGTCTGTCGGCGTCCTGTCTTGGTAGCATAGACGTGGCTGGAGATCATGAGGAATACCGATGAGACGGATGGCTTTGATGGCGAGGCCTCCAACACGTCTATGATTTCGGGGGCTAGTAGCCCCTACCAGCCCACCACGGAGCCCGTGCGTTCGAGGAATGTGCTGGCAGGCATCAGGTGTGACAACGAGTATCTGCGGTCCAACTTCGGCGTTTTGAAAATCATTGAAGTGGTGAGTTTTCATGGGAGGAAAAGTACCGCGCCCCTTCAAGTGTTCAGATGTTTCATGTCGTGCACAATACATGAATAAGTTCTGTTTTTCACATTATGATTACTGCTTGGGAAGATGGCCGTAATGGGACTGTTCACTGAAACCTTCATTATATGATTCTTGCATCCACATAGCATGTAAACAGCCGCTGTGTTTTATATAATATACGTTTTTGCATGTTTTTTTTTTTTAATGAGAGATTCAGCAAATGTTGAGAATGGTCTAAGAAATGCACCACCAGAACTACTTATTACACACCGTAAAGATCATTTTGCGCGGACTTTATAAACATTGTTTATAGATCTCTATTACAGTATTGTGGTATTACTTTTTGGCTTCGAAATACGGCAATAATTTCGTATGAAGGGTTAGCACTGTGGCCTCACATCTCTGAGACCTGGATTCATGGCCCCGCTCCTGCTCCATGTGTGTGGAGTTTTCATGTTCTCCCCGTGTCATTGTGGGGTTCCCTCTGGGTTCTCCGGTTTCCCCCCACAGTCCCAAAGCATGCTGAGGTGAATTGGAGTTGCCAAATTGTCCTGAGGTGTGTGTCCTGTGATGGGTTGGTGCCTCATCCTGGGTTGTCTCCTGCTTTCCATCCACAGTCTTTCAGATAGGCTGTGGACACCCCCCCGTGGCTCTGAATATGAGAAACGGTTACAGAAAATGGATGGATGGAATTTAGTATGAATGGTGTATTTGGAAACCTATGCAGTTGGTCCCAGTCATTGCAGTGCACTGCCAATTTACCTGCCATGAAGATGCCAATTAGTATGCGGAGCAGGTATCTCCAACATAGGTCTATTATCGACTGGCTTTGCTCGCAAATCCACCCCCTTAAACACGTAGTGTATAGATAAGTCACGGTGCTGTGAAACGTAAGGGGCTCTCTGGGGAGAAATGGCCGACGTGCAGCCCATAGTACGCTGGCCCTTTTCCTGCTTTCTGCAGCTTAGCCAGCGTGACCTCATTCTGTCCCTTAGCTGCGCAGTTGAATGTGAAACTTTCCCCCGTTTAATAGATAAGATCTGACATCAGAATGCCATTTACTGCACGCTGCAGCTGGGACTGGATAAATCTGAGGAATGCAGCTCTTTTAGGGGAATATTGGGTGTTTCCTGTCAGGTTTGCTTTTATCTCGGATATGGACTTTTACTCCCTTGGTTGACAGAATCTGTTTTTTTTTTGGGGAGGCAATTGCAGCCTACAGAACTGGAATGATTCTCAATCTATGGTCAAGTTATGTCTAATGTTAAATTGTCTGTCACATTTTGGGGTGAGAGTTGTGAAACATCCTCCTTATAACATAGCTGCTATATCTTATTTTTTGTTCTGATTAACCTTGCAAAAATTTTTCCCCCTCGGTATGACTCATATTCAATTAACTTTTACCAGTGAGTTATACTTATTGTACTTGGATAAACAGAGATGCAATTATCTACAACATAACAGCTTTGTTGCTATCAAATATCATTTTCACGCAGGGTGATGTATGCATACACAGAAATCGTGAGAAGACTGCACTGAGTAGTTTCTGTGTGGACTTCAGGTCTTCACCTACACCAGATGTTTTAACCAGATGTCCATGAAAGGAGGGAAATGACTCCCAGTGCACAGCCTCTACTGGGACCAGCTGTTGGGAAAGCAGCTTTGAGGGGTTCCTCTGTCATGGCTTGATGGTGCTTTGGGATGTTGATATTTTCTTATTTTTTTTGACAAATTAGAAAATGTGCTACACAATGCAAAAACAGGAGAAGCAAGGAAGTCGTTAACGAAAAGTAGTGGTTGGAAATGCCGCTGAGTGGAATAACCTGAAAGCCAGACTTAGACGGCACGCCTGCTGAGAGGTTGTCTGCCGATCGGTAAATTGCCATCGAGACGGCCCCGTGTGAGCTTGTTTTCCAAGCCATATGGTGCATCTCCTCCGTAGCAGGACTCTAGGGTTTAGTCGAAACGTGATGGAAGCAAGCCAGAAATAATGACAGTTACCGACGAGACCCTGAACAAAGGATATCTGATAGCATTACTACATCGATCGACACGCTAATGTGTTTTATGGAAAGCAGAACCCATGTGACCTCATGTGTTCAGTGTCTTGCTTGGGGGATGTAGATGAGCCCCCGACCACCCCCCCCCCCCCCCCCCCCCCCCCCCCCCCGACAAACACCCACAGCTGGCAGGTTCCCCAGGGGGGGAATGAAGAAGTCCATGTTCAGTCTCTGTTGGCTTTAGCTGCAAACTTGGGAGAGGATGTGGAACGACTGTTTTTGCCCTGCCTAGGAGGTGTGTAAGCTGTAAGGACCTGATGTAGTTCAGTGTGTCTGCTTGGACAGGCCATGGACTGTGAAGTCATTGTCTGTTTTAACTATGACATCACACCGTGAAACAGTAGTCTATAGTTTCACTGATATCTTTTCATATTCTTCTGGTTTTTTTTTTTTTCCTGGGGTGTTCAATTCACCCATTCCACTGTTTCCTCGATTGAAACGTGAAATCACCCCATGAATGTATCCCTCTGACGTAATAGCGGCGTGAAAAGTTTAGCTGATTGTCACCATGCCTGCCAGCTTGCATATTTGCTTAGGAAAAAGTTTCCAGGGATACTATCATCATCATGGGGTAAATAATTCTGCTGAATGAACAAAAAGCCGGGCGCTGTTCCTAAACACGTAAAACAAACTCCACGTAATGTGTGAATGAGACCTCTAGGAGTTCTATGGCCTACTTGTAGTCCATGTTGCAATTACTTCAACAGCCAATCACTGAGCTCCTCGAGTCCAGGTGCTTAATCGCTCTGCCCTCTGCCATTGCATTGGGGATACTGGCAGTTTGCGCAATGACACTCTGGATGAGTATTAATCATCTGTACTGTACTGGTTCAAAAGGGACCCTTGTGGTCAGTGGTTGATATGAGTTTGATCTGACCAGACCTTAGGTAGAATCTCTGGATGATTTTGGAACATCCCTCTGGGTTTGGCTGTGTTCAGTGGCATGTTATTCAATCTCTGTAGAGTACCTGAACAAACAACAACAAAAAAAATTATTTTTGTATAGCGCATTATCACAACATTACGTCATCTCAAAGCGCTTTACAGCATCCCCACCAAAAGCCCCCAGTGAGTAAGCCATAGGCGACAGTGGCAAGGCAAAACTCCCGAGAAGGAAGAAACCTTGGGAGGGACCAGACTCAAAGGGGGAGCCCATCCTCCAGGGGCCGGCAGGGAGAGTCAATTCGGAGAGATGGCTAAGTGCATCATCAGCAGGTCGTGTTACTGGGCAGTTAATACATCATCTTATTCCCCGTACCTTGTGTGTCTGAGCTCTAACCTGCAGTTAAAGTTGGCATGGTAACTGTGTTAATGTTCTGTGCCTGTATGACCTCTTAACCAACCATTTCTTCCCTGAGATCCAAAGAGAGGTGTACTGTTGTCCATGAAGGAAGAGTCCGCTAGTGTCCATGTGTAGGGACTTGAGGCCAATGTGTGGCTTGGAGGATTAAAACGCTGATTCTGTGGTCAGAAGGTGTCCAGTTTGTTGCTGGGTCGGCAAAAGTGATTTCAACTTTTCAGCCCTTGATCAAGGCCCTTAATGCCCAACTGCTTTGGCGACTGGCTGACCATGCTTTCTTAAGCTAAGAAATATTTAAAAATGTCTGTTAATGTAAACGTGAGCCTTTACACTCCCCACCAACCACACCCAAAGAACCAGCAGGAGGAAACTGTTAAATTTTCATCAGCTTGACTTGGTCAGAGTAGAAGTACAGGATGAACAGGATCTCCTGTTGCGCTCTCTGCCTTGTTTGATCTCCTGTGTGCCGTGAGATGCAGGAAGGAGCTTGGACTCACAGGAACGAGCCGACCGTTGGCCTTGTGAATTTTCGGGGATGGATTGTAGTTGGACTGCACACAACTTTTTGTTGTCAGAAGGTTTAAACTCTTGATCTATAAGGGTCTCTCTTTTTGGCAGCTTTTCTAGCCAGGCTTTGGGCCACCTGGTTCCAATAATTGCTTCGGTTGGGTGACCCCCAAAGAAGCCTTGGTGAACAAAGATCCAGCAGGTGGAGCTTAGCCTTCCCAGAATTCCCTGAGGGCTATTTACATGATACCTGATCCATGTGGGCGGAAGTGTGGGGGTGGAGTGCACATGGAGGAGACTGTGCCCAGCATCATTTTGTACAGGTTGATCCAACAAGCTCGCTGGCACTCTGGGATAACGCCCGGTGGATAAGGGGCTGTGGTGCCAAGAGACTTGGGTGCAAGAGACGTGACAGACATGGCTAGGCAGTAATTTCCACAAATGTGTCCCCTGGAAGTAGTCTGAATAAATATCTGCAGAACACATAATTAATCTCGATTATCCCATGTGTCATGCTGGCTGAGAATCGCATGAGAAAGGATCGGTGAAGTGTGAGGAAAGGCACTTGGTAAGAACAGAGCAGCTCAGGGATTCAGTTCAGGTTGTACACTTGGCCTTTTGTGTGCTAGGGATGTCATTAAATTTAACTGAAAATTAATTGTCACATAAATTGTAATTAACAGTTAAATAGTTCTTTTGTTTATTTGTATGTTTTTAAGAATTTTTTACTCTCCTGATTGATTATTGATGGCCTGAGGGGGAACAATTGAAATGACACTGAGAAACATTCAACTTTTGAATTCTTTAAGAGGATTACAGAAAAATGACCCACTCTCTACGGAGCTCTGCTTTTTAGAGTATTACTTTAGTGCTATCAGACTTTCTGGCTCGTAACGGAAAGTGGCCTCTCATTTCAAGGTCATTTAAGGGAGAAATGCACATATGGGGCTTTTCCACTGGCATACAGGAACCGGGCCGTACCATGAAGAGAGACTAGTTACAGTGCGGTTCCAGCTCACTTTGGTTTTCCACTGTAGAAGGGTTGGCTCAGTATAGGCGTGGCTGGGTTGGTGTTGTAAAACGGAAGAGATTGTTATTTACTGTTCACACATTTATTATATGCTAATTTCTTCTAGCACATCTGTAAGAATCGTCGTGTTATGTTAGCAAGGAGTGGTAGTGGAATTACCATTATTTTGCAAAGATTTTGCATTATGAATCCATTTCATTCAATCCCTTTTCCCTTCACATAATCCATGCATATTGATGCCGATCACTGGTTCTTTCTTGTCCCTGTGCATTTCGACCAATCAGACGGTGGTGACGCAACCAGCTGGCTTTAGTCATGCTAGCAGGGCTGTGTCATTATGGGTACAAGTTGGGTACGGCTGACTTATTTTACAATAGATAACTATCAATTTGCAGTACAGGCCGGTTACGGCACGGTTCTTGGTGGCAGTGGAAAAGCGCCAATAGATACAGGTGCCACAGCCAAGGGAGGCGTTTCCTGTGCTGCCGTTGATGTAAAAGGTGTGTTGAATTTACATTGTAAAGTGGCTTGGGTCATTCCAGTGTGGAGGGGTGTGAGCTCACTGTTGTGACTGCCTGTAATAATGATCTGCACGCTCACTCGGTAATAACAACTTTATTGGTAAATGTCCTGCATAGTTAGAATACATGCTTCTCCGTTAAATACAGAGCTGTTTCATGTGGTTAAATAATGCCTGCGAGCATCATTAAGTCACAAAGAAATCTTTGAAAGCAAGATGGAGGAATGAGACTCAATGGCTTGATACTTGCCAAATTGGATGCCGTCCCCCCCTCTGTCTTGCTCCAGTTGGGAAAACGTGGCAACCACCTCGAGGGGGCCACAAGGGTGGTTCTGCTGCCTGGCTCCAATTTACACATAGCTGTCAGTGCCCCCCTCCCCGCCTCCGTTAGCTGCAGTGTTTTACACTGATTGAATATCACAGAGCTCGTTAATTTAATTTAAACGCCTTCTGGAGCGGGCCCAGTCCTCCCAGCTGTTTTTGGCGTCGGAATTCGGATCCTGTCTGGGCCGCCCGTGGTGGAAAAGGCCCTGGAATCCCTCTGTGATGGCGGTTTCTGGTCGGCTCCGAACCAGCCTAACCCGGCCGGGGCTGGCTGGCTCTCCGTGTAGAATAGCACCTAAATGACGTGGTGACTTCACATTCTGTGGTCCTGGGATGTGAAGCTTTTTAAACTCGGTGTGGTCTGTTTTCTCCTCGGTTGACCGTTGCTGTAGCTGTATGATTTTGTTGGATGAAATTCTTCACCTTTTTCCTGTACTTTGCGGTCCAGTTAATGTTGCAGCTCTTGCGTCGGTCCCCCGTCGGCTGCCTACTCTGTGTAACTCCGCTGTTCGCTTCCTGCTATTCCCACATCTGCACACCCAGCTGTGTATTTTCTAAAAAGCCGTTTCTTAACTCTACTAGGCGAAGAAAGTAGAAACCAGGTGTACACCCTACTTTCCCTGGATGACCATGCTGCCTCAGGATCTGGTGTTTACATATATTAATTTAGCAGACATTTTTGTATATAAATGTGAGAATCAGAGAGCACGGTCAGACAGTCCATGGAGCTATCGGGATTAAGGGCCTTGCTCAAAGGCTTAATGTCATGGGGTTTGAACCAGCAACCTTCTGATCACACCCACAGAGTCCTAGCCTGTGGAGCCACACACCAGTTTTTGTCAGCATATGGAAGCGTCCTATAGTACTGTATATGAAGTTAAGGTGCTAGTCACCAAGAAAATTGGGAATAGGTACATTTGTCATCTTAATGGAGAAATGGACTAGTGTTCAGCTTGTACTGTCTCATGTGTGTCTGATGTTTATATGATACTCCTGTAAATGCGTCTGCTGATGAACCCTGTCCTCCTCCAGGTGCTCGCTCTCATTTCCTTCATCTGCATAGAGACCATCATGATGTGCCTGCCTTGTGGGGGGGTCTACTTCTTCGAGTTTGTCAGCTGCAGTACCTTTGTGGTCACTGGTGTCCTCCTCCTGCTCTTCAGCCTCAACCTGCACACCAAGGTGACCCACATCAACTGGAACCTCACGGTGCGTGTGCTCCTGGAAACTCTTTAGTCGCATGTGACCTTTATATCCTCCATCGCTGTCCCAGTTACCCACATGATGACCTCAGCTTGTCTTCCTTCTCATGTGTGTTCTGTAACCGAGTCTGAGCCTCTACCCGTAGTATCTACTCATAGTTAGTGAGGATCTACTCATAGTCTCTAGGTAGACTTTAACCTTCTGGGGTCTTGGGGTAGGGAACACACTTTCACTGACTGGGGCATGATCACACATTTCTTTCAATATCATAAACTTAATTCATGGCAAATTATTTCTTATATATTTGTTTTGGCATTACACTCATCTTTATTTTAATGTACTTTGTAAATATGTCAGATATATGTTAAGTTTGTAACTTGACATCAAAGTATAGACATTGCAAAATGCAGTTTGGAACACTTGCAGAAACATTATAAAAGTACATAGTAAGCAATGCTGGCAGTTTGTTCTGATCCCAGATATCTGGTCACCAAAGTCTTGGCTACATGAAGATGACTAAACGGTGTAGATGCAACATTCAGTTGGATAAATAAATAAGAAAAAGGTAACTCATGTCACTATTTCTGGCTCCTTTCATTGAATATGTAGCAACTTTCATGTGTATGAATGAGCCATTGACACCTGGCCACCCTCCCCCCCGGATCGCGTTTCACCGTTGCGTCGTTCATCAAATTACCATGTGAATGTGATTTGAATCTTCAGGTGAGGGCGACGCTACACACCCCCGATGCAGGTGATGTGGTTTACTTTTTTGCCGATTTAACCTAATTTAAAAAACTTTAATGCTTCCGACAATGGATGTTTTGAAAAGAAGACAGATTGCTTATTTAGTGTGCGTTTTTGTTATGTTTCTACAATAACATTTCAGCGAGTTATGAACTGAAATACTCTAGAAAGATACACAGCATCACCGACGATGCCGTCAACCTCAGAGGGTTAAGTCTTTACCCCTAGTCCGTAAGTTTCTACCAACAGTTTCTATTCATAGGGTGTATCCAAAATTGCATACTTGCACAATACATACTGAATTTCATTAGAAGCCCACTATTTGACCATTCATGCAGTACATACTTGAGAACAGTATGCATGCCTTCAGACATATTGGGGTCGCTGTATTGCATATTACCTGACCTGCGGTACATTTCCCAAACGGTTCTGTAATCAGCTAATGTAGCTGGAACCATTCAGTTGCATGGTTACAACTATGTAAGTTGCTAAAGTGTTTAGTAACTATGCGTTTGGGAAATTTTTACCAGTGATGTAGTTTGATTCCGCACAAAAGTTAAAAAGTTAAAAATTTTAAATGGGAAAAAAATACATGTTCAAGCAACTTAGGCAACTGGCCATTATTTTCTACTTATTTGTACAGAGACTATACTTCCTTCATCATTGTCGCACAAATTGCACATCAAGTTGCCATGTGGGATAGCGTACGGTCTATCATCTGCATACTTCGGAATTTCAGAGAATGTAGTATGCTATCCGTGTAGTATGCCATCCGGGTAGTATGCCATCCGGGTAGTATGCCATCCGGGTAGTATGCCATCCGGGTACCGCCTACTGTCTCATCCATACTGAGGATATGGACACACTGCTTTAACTTTACTTTTAACTATATTTTGCCTACTACATAGAAAACAAGTATGCGATTTCTTATCCATGGTCTGTTTATGCCCATAATCTGTGGGAATCTACCCATCGTCTCCCCATGTTTAATGTCCGTTCATAGGCAGAGGTCTATGACTTTGTTGTAATCGTACTAGTGCTTTTCCTCTCAGATCGCCAAGACAGAGATGACTTTGGGATAAAAATAATGGTCCACTCCCAGGCTCTCAGTATTGCCAAAAGACTGTGATGCTTCCGTCAACACTTAACCCCAAGATCTCCAGCATGTGGCATGAAGCCATCAAATTCAATGGAAAAAGGCATGAGGGACCATGATGTCTCTGTTTCACCACAAGCAAATTTCCTGTGGATTAAAAAAAAAAAGCTTAGATTTGCACTATGTAGGAATAATGTATTTCTTGCCTAGTTTCTATCACAGTTTGTCCAAAGATCAAGCGTGTATTTATCCCCAGGGGGGGGGATTCCTTTCAGCCTTACTGTGGGTCTGACTGCTCTATGGTCCATGAAAACAGCAGATTCAGCATTCGGGAACAAGCTAGGAATTGTATTGAATTGTGGTTTTATTGTGTCAGTGCAGTGACTGGGAGCAGTGGAAAAATCCTTTTTCCCCTTAGACGTGCATGACCTTGGTTTCATAGCTAGCAGTTGCACCGCAAACGTCTGGACGCGCGTTTCTCTCTCACATTTGACTCTTTGCAGAACTCGATGCATTTTTTTGTTCTTGAGCTAATGTACCTATAGTCCAGTCTGGTTTTATGATCTTTTGCTGTATTTATTCTGGATTCTTCCGCATTTTATGCTGCTGGAGGGAAGTTTTCATGTTATGACTATCTGCTCGTTTCTCTGCTTATATGTTTTTATTCTGTTACATCTTTAATTTTCAGGATTAGGGGCCAAAATAAATCTCTTCTTTATGTATCTGTCAGTCTGATCTTATAGTGAGGAAATTCACTATTCACTGCTGTCGCATGCCTTCAGAAATGCCAGTTGAACTGGCATAATTCATATAATCTGAATCCTACACTAACTCTTGCCGTTTCTTGCTATCAGTGTGTCCATGTCAGATCTGCTCTATGGGACATGGTGCTGAATTAGCTTTCTCTCTACTCTTTGTACTAATTGCAACCATATCCTTGTAAATCATTAAACTGACCCATGGTTGCATGTTAGATGCACTGCATTTTTACCCGGCCTTGCGGGTGTCAGTGAGGGCTTCCACTGCAAGCATTTTGTTAGTTGACAAAACACCTTCTCCAGTCTGTATTCGCTAGCTCCGGTCTGTATTCGCTAGCTCCGGTCTGTATTCGCTAGCTCCGGTCTGTATTCGCTAGCTCCGGTCTGTATTCGCTAGCTCCGGTCTGTATTAGCTAGCTCCAGTCTGTGAGATTTTGATTGTGAGGGTCTGGAGCAGAGAAAGTCGAGGAGTATAAATAGCACCAAACAGCATGAATTCAATCACAAAGGCTGACTCTGAGAATAAACGAAAGAGCCAAAAATAACCACTGAGCTGGATCCTCAAGACTGTATTGGTGGAAGGTTTCCAAAGCCCTTTAAAGAAGAAAATGAGGAATAAAAGCCTACTGAAGCTGATCTTCATGAGGGCCTGACGGGCCTTGACAGGCAGTCAGTGGAACCGACGGGCAGTGCTGAGGGCAGCCAGCGGAGCCGACGGGCAGTGCTGAGGGCAGTCAGTGGAGCCGACAGGCAGTGCTGAGGGCAGTCAGTGGAGCCGACAGGCAGTGCTGAGGGCAGCCATGGAGCCGACGGGCAGTGCTGAGGGCAGCCAGCGGAGCCGACGGGCAGTGCTGAGGGCAGCCATGGAGCCGACGGGCAGTGCTGAGGGCAGCCAGTGGAGCCGACGGGCAGTGCTGAGGGCAGTCAGTGGAGCCATAGTACAAAGCCTGTGCCATGTAGCAGACTGTGAGAGAACGGCAAGAATGACGACTGTTGTGTGACTTTTCACATTTATTCAAGAATGACCTTGCAGCACGTTTCTTCATACACAGTTGTGAGAACTAACCATGCTACTCGCAGTCACTGTAGTAGAAACCAGAGCATTTGCCATGTTAAATCTCCCCATGTATACACACATATTGGCAAAGTCTGTTGGCGTGGTGACGTCCATGTTTGGTGTCGGCAGTGCGTGTTTCTGCAGTGTGTCCTGTGTGATGTGATAGAGGGCGTAACCACCTTCCCTGCAGTCGATTTGCATCTTTATTAACTGTATTAAGCTGCGCTAAGATCCTCCCTTTTGACTTGTTTTTCCTGACTGAACATAAATAGAACAATCATAAGTCTATTCTTAGGGCATAATACACAAAAAAGCGAAGGATTTGAACACCATTTTGTTCCAAAATGCGTAATTCGGATGGGAAGGTATATTGTACTTAGTCATACATAAAATATAGTGCATGAAGACACTATGATTTTAAGCAATTTGTGTTTAATGACGAGTAAAAATATTGATGACATTAAAGGTATTGCTGGATTTCTAAAAGCTTCACTTCTGAGCGATTTCTAGAATGGTTCCAATTTTAGCTTCCTTTTGCCCTAATATTAGTGTGTATTGCAGGTGTTTCTCAGAGACCCTACGGTGCTTGTGATCTGCAGGTACTTGTGTGTGACAGTGGAGCCGCTGAAGGACAGGGACCACGCCATGCAGGCCTAGGGTTGGTGGACTGACCTTCTGGGCTTATTTGTCATGAGGGTCAACGTGCGCTTGGTGCAGACGTACGGAACGATTTCTCATGTCCTCAGTGAGACGTCTCTCAGGTTTCGGTCTGAGGACTGTGCTGGGGGGGGGGGGGTCCAGCTGGATGGGACACGGCGCCAGTGATCAGAAGGTTGTCGGATCAGATCAGCAAGCAAGATCCTTAACCCCTTGGTGCTCCAGGGACCTGCTGGCTCCGTTTCCTCAGAAATGTATGTTGCTTTGGATAAAAGCATCTGCTAAATAATAAAAAAGTTATATAAATATTTGACTGAAGATCTTGTCTTTTAAATTAGTGCTATGACAGCTTTAATTAACAAATCTAAACAATTGAATTAAATTTTTGGATCTTGTGTCTGTTCTGCTTGTCATTGTTAGTGCACTTACTTTGGGGTTTGAGAGTAACAAAATTTCAGTCCTCCATGTGTCCTGTACAACTGGCAGAATTAACAATAAATACTAGGACTGAAAAATTCTGGGAATGTTCCTGTTAATTCCCATATATTCCCGTTTAATTTTCATGGAAAGTTTCCAACTTTTAAATATTTCAAAAATTCCCCAGCTTAGTGTCCCATGGAATGGAAAGTTTCTGGAAATGCCCCTTTGCAACTCTATGATTTTGACTAAATGAACAAATAAACAGGACTGGAGGCGAATGGCCGTGCACTGCATTAGTAGCAGCAAGGTCCTGTTCAATACGTTTGGTCTATGTCACTGAGCCTTGATCCCCGGCAGCGGAGCCGTCATGTGACCCCGTCGGTGCTGTGCTGCGGGTCATTGGTCAAGTCACATGCTAGGTTTTGGGTCACTCAGTGCCAGGCTTCCCGGCGGGAAGGGTGGCTCCGGATTAAACCGACTTTGCGACCTGCTAGCGTTTCCTTTCCTCGTAACGACCTGACGGAATTTGCTCCCCGTGCAGCGGGTCTGGGTCCGTTAACCTTGTGCTGCTTTCCTGTCGGATGCTCAGTTGTCATTGGTTAGTTGTGATTTTCTTTACGCCCCCGAGGGAGACACCGTGTCCCGAATATGTCCTGAACGGGTCGTACTCCCTTCCTGAAGCATTAAGAACGAAAGGCTGAGAGTCTGTAGGCCTGAGTGGGGGCTTGAGGCCCCGCAGGGTGGGCGGGGGAGGGGAATGTCCCGTGTTTGTGATATAATGTGAGCAGCACAAACTGGGCAGGACCTCCAGCACCCTGAGCTTCTTTCAAAGCTTTATTGTGTTTCCCCCCGGAGTTTGAAGTCCAGATGTAATTAAATTTTTGTGGCATTAAGTGGAGGCTGAGAATAAAAAAGATTATTGCCAGGCTGGTTGCTCCTTGCTGCAGTGATTATCACTGTGAGTTATGGGCACGTCTCCTTTCTCGACTCCCCTCTGTCAGTCTTCAGGCAAGAAAGTCCATCCTGACCTCGGCACAAACTTCTCTGTGCCTCACATCGCTCCTTTGCTACCCATTTTCTCTCTCTCTCTCTCACACACACACACACACACACACACACACACACACACACACACACACACACACACACACACACACACACACCACCTCCCTGAGAGCCAGCCGCGGTTGAAGCATCTCATTAGTTTTGTGCTGGGAGCTTCAGTAAAGCCCTGAGGCCATTCGATGTAATTGTGAGCTATGAGTACTGTGTAATATCTGATGTCTGATGCATGACATGCTGCCCTTCAGTGGATTTCCTCCACACATACTCACGAGACGCCAGATTTGCTCTTGGAAATGTAGGTTAAACAGCCGGGTCCAATCGGCCGTTCCTCGGCCCGTCTGTGTCTCTCTGCAGGACCTGCTCAACACTGGCATCAGCACGTTCTCCTTCTTCCTGGCCTCCCTGGTTCTAGTGGCGCTGAATCACACAAGCGGAGCGGAGATCGCAGCGGGGGTGAGTGTCTCTGAAATGCTTCTCCACTGTCATGAATTAATTATGTAGGGATCACGTTTGCATGTGTGTATTTTCCCTTTGCACACAGCCAGACAATTAAGACATTTCTTGAAAATATTGAGTGAAGTAGTTTGAGTTTAACCACTTCCATTAAGAATATAGCAACAGTTACCTCCAAGTTTGAAGTGGAGCAGAAGTCTCCTCTACTTCTGTGTTCATGCTGGGCTGATGTGGTTGGTCTGCCTTGGGGTCCAATAGCTGTGGCCAGTCTCCACTCAGGAGGTAGCTTCTGAACTGTAAGAAGCTCTTTGATGTGGTCTGTCTGTGAGAGGGGTGGACACCAGGGGGTCGGGCAGGAACACGCCCGTGTCCGCTGACCCTCTCAGTAGGGGGGACAGACATTGACGGCAGTTGAAATTTTTGTGACTGAAAATGCTCTTACAATCATTGCAAAATGAGGCATACAATTTATTACAAAATTAGGCACTAGAATTTTGTGGCTGTATATTTTGCTGCCCAATCAGGTGCTGTTTGTGACCATCTTCAGCTACAATTTTCTTAACGGTTCATAAAGCAACGATTTAAGATGCATAATTTTAAGCCTCCATCACCAAGTATGAAACAGGCCGTCTTCCAATAACATCTGCTGCCCCCTTTTGTTTGGAAATGGCTACTGCGGACCAATAGAATTTATTGCCCTGTAATTGCGGTTCTTTCACGTTACCTATCTTTAACTTGAGCAGTTTTGAGAAGTTTTGAACAAAATGAAAATACAATTTCTGATTGGCTGGCCTCAGTCCTGCTGTAGTCACACGGTAACCTTGGCCCGTGTGTAACAGCCCGTGTTAATGCCACTGTTTACTGTCTGAGGAGGAAGTCCCAAACTGCACAGGTAAGTCCCCCGTCGGTTACGTGCCTAATAGCACGATGCAGGTGCTCCTGTCCCTGCTCCGTTTCTTTGGGTGAGGGGGGGGGCAGCGATTCTTCACGCTTCACTGCCCTCCCAGCTCAGGTTCCTGATACGCTGGATTAGTGTGACCCGTTTCGTCCTCTGTGCCACCTGCAGATCTTAATACTTAATAACCTCTCATTATTATTGTTGTTCTTGTTTTATCATTATAATCACTTAAGGTACTTAGGTGTCTGGAAGGTGTGCGGTTCTCTGGGTTTGGACTTGTGCGTGTGATCAGAAGGTCACCGGCTCAAATCCCAGAGTCAGCAGAGTGGTGTCAGTGACTACATTTCCATGCACACTTATTTTTTTTTTAGCGTCTGTGACATAGTAGGTCAACCGGAAAAAGCCCAATACTAACAAGCTAACAGGAGCCATATCGCCACCTATTGTGGTGGAGTCAAACTTCGGTCAATAAATCGATTCCCCTCCCGTGCGTGTGCACTGGGACAAGGACAGTAGTCCGATTAAATGGCATGATTGAGCTATAACTGTAGTTCGACTTGGCTGTGCATGTAAATGTTAGGACCCAGAGACTGGCTGACTCTGCTTTTTTATTAGTATGTCATACGCATCCGCCAATTAAATACTGTAGTACTTAGATGATGCTTTCACTGAATGTACATTTATTCAGCTGGATATGAATGGGATATGTATCCTATAAAATACCTTACTGCTACTTCAACAGGTCACATAGGTGGTAAAATCTTTACTGGGCTCCACTAAAATGTATATTGAATACTGGCCTAGCTAATGAGCTGTTTTCATGCTGTGCCCCCGCGCCCCCCCAGCTGTGCGTTTGCACTGATCCAAAATGGTGGGCCCAGCTCTCATTAACTGGGAGTATCAGTGCTGCCGGTGACCAATGTCCTTCACGCCATGTGAGCATGGCTTGAGAATGACACACAGCAGGTCTGCATATTCTGTTGTTTTAAGATGCATGTGCCAGCAGCAGGAATAACCAGTCTGGTTCCGCACTGGTGCCCATTTACACTGAGAGCTGTTAGCTTAACCCGTTATCATCAGGTGAGTGGGATAGACGCTGCCTGGCAAAGGGATTTCTGTTTCACTCTTTACCATCTTAGATTTTCAATAGAATAACATTCAAAATCTCGACTATAGTTTTTCTTAGTTTTGCCTGCCCAAGCTGATCTTCTATTCGACTTCCTGTTCCTGCTCCACTAGTATCTCAAATTCCCCTTCGTCTCAGCCACCTGGTGGGGATACAGGGAATTAATTAGCTAAATAACTAGTAGCTAGGTCCTGTCTGAGAAGCTTTTGAGTCTGGCCTGTCCAGCGTACAGAATGCAGTGAACCTCTGCAGCTACAGTGGTGAGTAATTATTTATTTGCTAGAGTGGATTACTTGACAGCTGCAATACGTGTAATTCCCAGCCGATTTTATCGTGTTGCTGAATTTTCCGCTTCCTCATCACGGGGTCTCGTGTCGCCCAGCTTCGATGTTGATGGTACTCAATCAGCTAAACTTTCCCTTCGTGTTCCATCTGTTACAGATATTTGGCTTCCTGGCTACGGCGGTCTACGCCTTCAACACGGTCTTGGCGTTGAGGAGGCTGCGGCAAGGGGGGCGGCCGAGTGTGGGGCAGACGGGCGATTACACGCGGGCCCGCACCACGTCCCGCGGGGAGGTGGAGTCGCAGCCTGAGCTGCACTGAGCGCCCGAATCGCAGCCACGGAGCCGGCCGCACTGGAGAGACCCCCGTGTCTGACATGCACTTCCCAGACCCCCAAGTTGGGGTTGATACTCGACCCCATTTTAGGGTTTCATCTTCCAAGACCCACCTTGGCCTCTCCGTAACTGTAAGAGGTTGGCTCTCTGGATCTTAAGTCACAGTTTCACATGGATGAAGGTATATTTCTTTGAGACTGCTTATCACTATGCCATATCAATAACCTACTCAAATACATATCTTTTGCTTTACAGTGCAACCTAGTTATTTGACGGCACTAAGCCTAAGGATTAAAGACCATTTTCTAATCATAAATCTAATCCAAGGGTTACAAAGTGCTTCTCCAGACAAAGTAGGTTTCTTCTGGGCTGCTGTTGTGTTTGGTCTGTAGTAAGTCTGCACGAAGGAGCTCCTGTGCAGACCTTGGCTGATGTTTATCGGAGCTGTTTCTGGGTCCGCGAGCACACTCCCAGTTAGCATTCTCATTTGGAACATTTTCAAATGCTAATATGTCAAATTCGGCGAAGGGCAATCCACAGCTTCGTCAAATGAAATGAAAGTCTTTCTTATTTATGAAATGCAAAAATGCGTGATGAGTAACTGGAGCTCTGGCGATACCGTGCAGGATGGATCGGTAACTGCAGCCGCCTTTGATTCTGGATTCCAAGAGGCCGTGGCAGTGTGACCCTATTTGCCTATAAGTGAAAATGCTACTTGGATCCTAGTTCATGATGAGATGTATAATTCGCATTATGGGATCTTTAAGGGTTAATTCTCTGAAGGAGTTCACTTACCGACATCTTTACATTGTGTCTGTATGCAGCATAATGATACCTGTTAAACTGCAGAGGTCACTCTGGACCACCATCATATCTTCCATGTGTAAACGTAACATATTTACAGTGCCCTGAAGAAAACGGAAATGTGTGTTTGTGTAGCTAATGTGGTTTTAACAAGACATTGTTATCTCTGAACCACACATCCTGATAAAGTCTCCAAGGGTAGCTTTAGAGAAATTGCAATGTCTCACCTCGATCTCATCTTTTTAGAATTGTTTAGAACTAGCAAGTGTTCCTCCGCCACGTCAATCACAATAGTAGGACACGATTCCAGTCTTGGATGCTGGTACCGGGCTGTGGGAAGAATATTTGGGAAAGGTTTCCATACCCACATACCAGGGGTATTTTTACTGGATTAAGGGACTTAGGAAGTAGGGAGAGGTTTCTCATTGGTGGGTTTGGTGTCTCCTGTTGCTGTGCTTGGGCCTAGTTGCCATGTATGGAGAATTGTGGGAAATCCAGCATCAGGGAAGGCCTTATTCATGGAGTGATCCAGCGTCACAACTGGGGAATGTGATGAGCTGGTCCTGTCTGTCCAGTCTCTCAGCCTAGAACCCCAGCCGACACTGGGACATGGTTCTACTCAGAACATGAGGGCTATGCTTTGTAACAATCTGTTTTTAAATGCTTACTGTGAAATCAAGCTTGTAGCCGTTATCTTGCTGGGATATGAGGTGGGGTGGGAGGGTGTGTTTTATGATGGTAAGGAAGGGTGTTATGAGAGTGGGGAAGCGTGACCAACCCTGGTTTTAAGACTGTTTCCGAATGTTCCCCCTAGAATTCTATTTATACACGTACGTTAATTATTTGTGTGTGATTTTATAAAGCTGGAGGATATGTCTTTATTTTGGCTCAATGATTGACAAGTAGCTGATCTAAGCCACTTGTTTATGTGTGTTTGATGATGCCCTGATGGAAGATGTGTGTCCATCACAAATCGGTGCCTTTGGTGACGGAACCAGCACAAGTGAGACGCAACCAGTCCTATTTATGGCTTAACTTATTGATATAGCGTGCAGTGTATCTAAAACAGTGTGCTAATTAGTTTGTGAGAAGACTAGGTCTACACTCCTTTGAATTAAATCACGTGTGGGATGCAGTAAATGCTGCAGAAGTTGCTGCCGTGAGTTGAGAAACACGGCACATTTTTACTGGGATATGTCTGAGCTGCCGACCGTAATGTTTATTTTTGAATCACGCCACTTCCACCTCCTCTAAATGAACTGAACCTGATCTCCGTTACTTCCACCCTTTTAAGAATAAGCAAATAATATGCCAGATGGGACCAGTTGTCACCGTCGTCGTTATGGTGACAAGGACAATAGTTTAGAAACTGTTTTGTACGGATGATTTACTCCAGCAGCACAGTGATGTCTCTTTTTTACTAATAGAGTTTGCATTAAACTTTTTTTTTTCTCCATTCAGTAATTTTTGCTTACACTACCCTCAGACCCGCTCCTTATTTGTCCTACAATATTTCAGGCTGAATACATGGCCATCCAAACAATCCCTGCTGGAATATCACTGATGTGTACACTAACTCACAAGACAAAGTCTTACAAGATGACTTAAGGTAAAGTATTAGCAGTGTAATGTAAAATTTATATATATGTTTTTTATTTATGTAACTTTACAAGCATCACAGTACCTAATTTTTTTATTTTATTTTTTACTTCCGGCCGAATCATCGTGCATTGATGTTTGACGTGCATTCTTCTAGCTCACAATATTGCTTACCATGTATTCTGTCCATCCAGTTTTAATTTATTTTAGTGAGTGTCCTCTATGAAATCATTCATTTTTGTATGCATTGCTAATTGTATTTGTATAATTCAATGTAAATTTATCAGTGCTAATTAGTAGGCTTACAACTGATTAAATTGTTCTGCTTCTTGTGTCGATCTCCGCTATTGATGTGGTGTGTAATTGTCTTTTGACACACAACCCGGGTGTTGATGAAAACGTCAGGTGTTTATTGTTTGTGTCTGAACATTCGCGTCCAGCAGGATGAGCTGTCAGGGCTGCAACTGTCACTTGCATCGACAGAATGCAGCCTTCCCTCTTGCGCACAATCGGCACTGCTGGTCAGCATGCATTGCACTGCGATCCCAGGGGCGCCAGTGCGCCAAATGCAGTGCAACTAGGTAAACCATCCAAAGGTTCCTAAAGACTAAATCTGCTCCCACATATATTTGCAATGAAATACAGAAGCATATGTCAGAGTCTTTCGAAATCTATTGCATAGAATTACAGCTGTTAGTGGTCTTTCCCCAAGTGGCATGAAAGGTGAAAGCTTCTGCGTAATTTCTGGCCAGTGAAAAGTGCAACCCGATCCATTTCATGTGAATGTAAAGCATAATTATTTTACAGCTGAGGCTGTTAGTAATTTTCATTTTACAAAAAAGGAATGATTGTCAGAGGCAGGAGTATCCATAGTAATAAATGTCTGGAAACAAAACGGAATACGTTGAGAAATGTGATTCAAGACCACACATGTTAAAGGGTTAGTTTTGTGACGCAAAGCCAAAGATTCAACTGAAATGTCACCACATCTTCTGCTCCCCGCTATGAAAAACATAAAACCTTTATGTGATGACAAGCCATCTTTATGCAGTCAGTTGAAAATGCTGAGTATCATTAAACCCATCTTGGGGGAACATTCAGAAGATATCCAGTGACATCCACATATGCCCATTTGCATACGCAGTGAATGGCTGACTTGCTGGTTTCACAGTTGGGGTTCAAAGGCTTCAGACAGGTATGTAAAGGTTAGTGTTACGTGCCTGGGGCTCAGCTCTCTGACAGCTGCGGGTAAAATGACCACACTGGAAGCAAACGTACAGTGTGGCCTCAATACTGCAAATTGTTCACAGCATGAAAGGAACTGCAAAAAGAGGAAAAAAGCAAGTAAACATAAAAATCCTTAGATAAGTATCTTAGGAAAAAACAGACGTAAACACTTTATCTGATAGGGTTCAGGGTTTGAAAGGCCAGTGGTAGAATGCCCAAGTTTGTGTTTGTTCTTCAAGCCGGACGAGGAGATTCCTAAAATCAAACGATGAAGACGTCTCATGGCTTCTCCTTTTCCCATCGGCTACTTCGGCGGTCAGGCTCAGTCTGAATCGGAGTCAGAGTCGTTTGCTGCGAAACAAAACCAAAATGGCCTTAAGTATGTTTATAGCAACGAAGGAAGTGGACCTTGGCTTACAGTAAAATGTCTGTCCTCTCCACCCACCGCTTGCTAAAAAACAGCATCGTTTTTGGGTGGTTGACAGAACCACAAATACTTTACGGCTTCACATGGAAGGCAACTGAATATGAGACTTGGGAGGCTGATGCATACCAACCCTGGCAATGATGCACAGAACTTATGTGCATATAATGCATCCTTTTATAGGAGTGTGACATCGTAAATTATGCCTGATCTACTTCATTTTCTTCAATTGGCCTAATATGACACAGTCCCAGCACTGCAGAAACCAAGAAATTACCAGTGCTATGCACTTAAAACAACTTCGCCTTTGCTGAAGCACATGGTGGGCAAACTCTGAAGCTCACGAAATGGACGACATCTATGCAAAACCATGTTCTCCAAATGCATCTACAAATCTAAAGTCATCAGGTTTCATTCTCACACATAGCTTCGAATTCACTGAATTCCCTCTGAATTCTGCCATACAGACACACATTGTGGAGCTTCTTGGGACTGGCTCTCGCGTCCCTCGGGGCAAAGACTGACATCAGGTGACCGCACTGTGACTACTTGACGAGAGCTATTTTGGATGCATTATTCGGAAGGGGAGCTTGGAAACAGGAAACATATGGCCAAAAATCATTTGTGTCTATCAACAGCTAGTTCAAGCTGCAGATGGTATTGATGTAATACCCAGCTAACTGCAGTAAACTTTCTAAAATGAATAAATGAAAAAAAACTACATAAGTGACTATATGATGTCACTAAAATGTTCTCATTAATGTTTTTACAACTATATTTTGGTCTCCCAAGATATGTGTGTCATATATATATATATTCCTGGGGTGACTTGATGGTTCAGTGTGTTTCTGATATGGTTGTTTCTCCCTAGTCCAAAAACATGCAGCTAGATGAATTGCTGTATCTAAATTGCTTGTGCCATGTGACTATGTGTGAGCATGTGCATGCAGGTGGCATGCAGGGGTCTGCATTTCCTGTACCATGTGACTGTATGCGAGCGTGTGCGCCGACATGCCACCTAAGGTGTTCCCATGCCATGTGCCCTTATGGGACAGTTACGGAAAATGGATGTGTACGTTCATCCTGATGTTTGCATGGTAGAAAGCCAAACAGAAAGAGGTTTACCTGCTTGCGGTTCCTCATCGGGTGTTCTGCCTTGCTTAAGGAAGGTGGCCAGGTCATTGAAGATGAAATAGAAATCTATGGCGAAAACAATGGTGGCTATGAACCCAAAAACCTGTGAAGAGAGAGGCCTTTGATGGTGAGTATGGCATGAAAAGAACCATGAAATGATGTAAGATGAGAGAAGGCTGGCCGGGGGTGGGGGAGGGGGAGGGGCACACCATTGTAAACTTCATCTGTAACACAATACACATGGGCAATGCCTATGGCATAGGAAACTTCAAACGCCATTAAGGTGCCATTGGTTAAACGTCACGGAAGCACATTGTGGTTCACCTCACGCCTCAGATTGATATGCTGAAATGGGGAGATCCCCAAGGTCGACAGGTCACGGCTTACCCCAGCTGCGCTGGAGGCCCCACCCGAGTACTTGGAGACTGAAATTATGGAGATGATGAAGTAGATGATGGAGGCAGTAACACAACGCAGGAAATCCTAAAAAGTGGAAAATGCAGCAGCGGCCATCAAAATCGTGTGAGCGGTGGAGGGGGGGGGACGGCCGAGGATGGGCTTGGTGTGGACACTTACCACCAGAGGCCAGTAGAAGTCCTTGAACCGCTCATTGAACTTGGTGGAGTAAGCAAAGTAGAAGAAGATGGCCATGAGGAACTCGACGAGGGGGGCCGTCGTGAACACTGCCGCGGAGGATGCCACGAAGCACACGAAGGTGATGAAGGTAAGAACCTGGCGTGAGAGGGAAGGTGAGTGCTGGATGTAGGGTGACCACCTAATCCATGTCAGGAGGGACACTATGAGCTACAACAGGATTTGTAAACCACCATTTCATACATTTCAATTAAAAGGAGCAGGATTTCACTTAAGCACTGGGTTCTTGCCGTATGCTGATTGGTCAGTCTCCTATAATCATGCATATGTGTCAGTAATGTTAATGCGA